CCAGACACAAATTAATTAGCAGAAAATGTAAATGGATTGTTTGTCCAGCTTGAAATGCACTTATCACAGTAAATAAAGTGAAATGCAAATAAATGCTGACACAGTAAACATATCATTTTTGTGCGCAGGGGAAGAGTTTCCACAATTTGACTAAATATTGTACAAAAGGAGACAACTTCAAAGATTGAGATGAAACATTAAAGCTGTAGTAACGTGCAGCAGAACGGATCCAAAGGTAAACATGTTCCCACTGAAAAACAGAGCTGTACTAAGCTGGAAGGTTTGTCTGTTCAAAGACAAAGTTTGGTTCATAGAAGATATTTTTTAAAAATGTGGCTGTTTTGGTCCAATTAGAAGTGGCCTACCATAACACAAACAAACAGCCTGGACTCATTAGTGACATCCATGTTCTGTGTTTTTTATTACAAAGTTACTTCATGGAGAGTCAGGATGTTGATTCTTATTTGATTTGAAGCAGCTTCATCTTGTTTCCTGGCAGAAAAAAAATCAAACAATTAGCGGATGAAAAATGTATGTTAATATACTGTATATATTTTCTGGTATCCTTACCTAGTCCTTTAAGAAATTTGTTCACTCCACTAGGCTCCGGCTCAGGGTACGAGTCCATGTATTCAGCCACTCTGGCCTCAAAGAGACCTGAGATAAAGAAGGAAAGTAGTCCAATTCATAAGAAACAGATTGTAACCCTCTGTACAGTTTGTAAACATTGCATGTGTGGTTTGATATGATTTAACACAGATCCATTTTCCTTTTTTTAAGTGAAACTACATTGAGACAAATATATGTCTGAATCAGTTTGACACTACAAGATTGTTATTACCTCTCCCTCCAGACTTGCGCAGCTCCTTGTCCTGAATGAAGCCAGCAAACATCTGAGTGTCCATGAAGAGCTGCAGGAACTGTCGGACCCCACGGGATGGGTGGGATTTACGGAAGCTGTCACGCTGAAGCTCTCTGCCTCCGTTGGACGACTCCACCATGTGGAGGGGGTAGTGGCCAACCAGCTCCACAAAGAATCGCACAAAGCCTTCTGACACCAGGGAGCTCAGGTCAGGCTCCTGGTCTGGAGAGAAGAAAGAACCCAGCAGAAAGGTTAGCATTTTTAAGTATCGCATGGTTTGAATAGTTAGTTTGTAATTGTTTAACAGAATACACTTAGAAAGCTTTTTAAAAAACAATTTCATCATCAGGAAAATTCTGGTCAGGATTATTGAAAGTGTGAATGTAAGGAAATACTGATCTTACATATATTTCTATAACAGAGATAATAGAGAAAGAAAGAAAGAGAGTCAGAGTGACTGAAGGTGGTGTCAGCACCAATCACTATTTCCCTTTTTTCTTGAGGTACACTAAATGCAGAGGAGAAATCTCAGTGAACGTGTATTTAACATGACAATAAATGTGATTGTTATTTTTACTAGGAATTAGGTGCATCAGTTATAAGTTGTAGTTGATTTGTTTAAAATGAAATCATAAGAATTAGTGGCATTTAATCATAAGTGATTTTAGGTTGACACAAAAACCTTTTCAATTGAAAATGTGTCATTCATTCACCTTCTACCAGTTCATCCATTATAGAAGGCAGCAGTCAAGTAAAAGTGTGAGGGCTGGAAGTTTAAGCATGAATGCATTCAGGTCAATCAAACATTTGTGTTTATTTAATTGTAGGTGGACAAAGTCAAACACAGTTGTTGCTTGTGAAGGAGACAAACCTCCACATGTGTATTCATCCTCCTGGCTCAGGATGTAGTCTCTGTCCTCCAGAATCTGCTGTAGCGCCGCCTGCAGTTTACTGGGCAGGATGCAGTCTTCATCGCCCATCTGTTGAACATCACAGCATTCAATACTGACTGACTGACTGACTGACTGACTGACTGACTGACTGACTGACTGACTGACTGACTGACTGACTGACTGACTGACTGACTGACTGACTGACTGACTGACTGACTGACTGACTGACTGACTGACTGACTGACTGACTGACTGACTGACTGACTGACTGACTGACTGACTGACTGACTGACTGACTGACTGACTGACTGACTGACTGACTGACTGACTGACTGACTGACTGACTGACTGACTGACTGACTGACTGACTGACTGACTGACTGACTGACTGACTGACTGACTGACTGACTGACTGACTGACTGACTGACTGACTGACTGACTGACTGACTGACTGACTGACTGACTGACTGACTGACTGACTGACTGACTGACTGACTGACTGACTGACTGACTGACTGACTGACTGACTGACTGACTGACTGACTGACTGACTGACTGACTGACTGACTGACTGACTGACTGACTGACTGACTGACTGACTGACTGACTGACTGACTGACTGACTGACTGACTGACTGACTGACTGACTGACTGACTGACTGACTGACTGACTGACTGACTGACTGACTGACTGACTGACTGACTGACTGACTGACTGACTGACTGACTGACTGACTGACTGACTGACTGACTGACTGACTGACTGACTGACTGACTGACTGACTGACTGACTGACTGACTGACTGACTGACTGACTGACTGACTGACTGACTGACTGACTGACTGACTGACTGACTGACTGACTGACTGACTGACTGACTGACTGACTGACTGACTGACTGACTGACTGACTGACTGACTGACTGACTGACTGACTGACTGACTGACTGACTGACTGACTGACTGACTGACTGACTGACTGACTGACTGACTGACTGACTGACTGACTGACTGACTGACTGACTGACTGACTGACTGACTGACTGACTGACTGACTGACTGACTGACTGACTGACTGACTGACTGACTGACTGACTGACTGACTGACTGACTGACTGACTGACTGACTGACTGACTGACTGACTGACTGACTGACTGACTGACTGACTGACTGACTGACTGACTGACTGACTGACTGACTGACTGACTGACTGACTGACTGACTGACTGACTGACTGACTGACTGACTGACTGACTGACTGACTGACTGACTGACTGACTGACTGACTGACTGACTGACTGACTGACTGACTGACTGACTGACTGACTGACTGACTGACTGACTGACTGACTGACTGACTGACTGACTGACTGACTGACTGACTGACTGACTGACTGACTGACTGACTGACTGACTGACTGACTGACTGACTGACTGACTGACTGACTGACTGACTGACTGACTGACTGACTGACTGACTGACTGACTGACTGACTGACTGACTGACTGACTGACTGACTGACTGACTGACTGACTGACTGACTGACTGACTGACTGACTGACTGACTGACTGACTGACTGACTGACTGACTGACTGACTGACTGACTGACTGACTGACTGACTGACTGACTGACTGACTGACTGACTGACTGACTGACTGACTGACTGACTGACTGACTGACTGACTGACTGACTGACTGACTGACTGACTGACTGACTGACTGACTGACTGACTGACTGACTGACTGACTGACTGACTGACTGACTGACTGACTGACTGACTGACTGACTGACTGACTGACTGACTGACTGACTGACTGACTGACTGACTGACTGACTGACTGACTGACTGACTGACTGACTGACTGACTGACTGACTGACTGACTGACTGACTGACTGACTGACTGACTGACTGACTGACTGACTGACTGACTGACTGACTGACTGACTGACTGACTGACTGACTGACTGACTGACTGACTGACTGACTGACTGACTGACTGACTGACTGACTGACTGACTGACTGACTTTTTACATACCTGAATCTCAAATTTATCAGCACACAGATCCACTATGAGCACCTGCAAGTACAAAGCATCAAATCAATCACAGTTACACATTGAGTTCACTTCATCATCAGCCAATACCACTTAACAAATGCTAATCTTTAACCTATTTAAACCATTGTTCTCCAACATTAATGTAACACTAATACTGTCTTAAATCCACACACAGCACAGCATTTTAACAACCTTATCCAATATTTCCAGACTTCTGACCCACCTCCTCAATGGGAAGCTCCAGCAGCTGTGGGAGGCAGGGCGCCAATACCCCAATAACAAACGGAGTTGGGGAGCAGCTGATGTCCAACATACTGGCCGGTAACACAGGTATAAAAGTGTGCTGCCAGGTGAAGGGATACAGAAGAGCCAGTGCTGCATGGCCACACCGAGACAACACACTGTAGAGTACAGAAAATGATTAACAAACATCAGTCTTCAGAATATTCTTTCTGGATTGCATGTAAGGGGAAAAAAATGTCATAGGCTTCAAACTACTTCTGATGGGACTGTACTTTAGAGTACCTAGAACTGTGGCACACATTACAGGTGATGTGTTCATTAACAGACCCTACTTGTTTACATGTTACTCACTAGGTTCTACAAACACAGCATGTTTTGTTAGGTCAGTCTAAAGCACTTTAATTAAATCTATTATTAAATTCCATACATGACAAATGTTTCGTTGTACCCTGTATTACAATGACAATAAATACTATTCTATTCTATGATCTGTGCTGCGTAATTCTTCTTAAAAACCATACCCATTCTGTTTTAATTTCCAATTTAAGTTACTTTTCAAAACCCTTGCAATGACTCCCTGAAAATGTTATTAAATCCATGTCGCTGCCTGGATGACATCTGCCGCTTCAATAATTACAGAGAAACACTAGAAGTCAAATGAGTCATATCCCAATGAACAAACGCCCACTTCAACAAAAGTCCAAGTGGTCAAATTTTGGGGCAATTTTATTTTCAAATTTGTATCTAGTCTGCGTGTTTCTCATGGAATTTTCAGATTTTTTCTCAAAGTTTTATTTTGTCTACATGTTTCTCATTAAAACACAACAATTTCATAATTTTTTTAAGTTTTCACGAAATACCTATGACTAAAACTTACGTGATAAATTAGGATTTTGCCCAAAAATCTAGAAAAAGATCTTTTAGAAAATTCCTCAAAATGCTCTTATTTCATGAGGAACATGCAGACAAGGTAAAACTTTGAGAAAAAAAAAATGCCCAAACAAACCCAGCAATTTTTTTTTCCTGGACCCGTTACTGAGACTCTGTGTCTCTCATAAAGAGAACGAGGACACTGAGGTAAAGTACAAAGAGATAATAATACCACTCTTGTGGGATGTCATCAAGCACTGACTATTGCAGCATATGGTGTTTTTTTTAAAAGCCTACATTAATATTCTAACACTAGTGGCCGTATATCCCATCGGGGGTTGTGTGCATATTTGAGTGATGCTGGTACCTGAGTTTGTCAGCGATGAAGATAACTCTCCTCTCCAGCAGAACGGAGGCGAACACTTGCAGGAGTCTCCCTACACTGAGACACTGGAGCAGGCAGTTGAAGTCCACGTGCTCTAATCTGGAGTCCACTGGTCGACACAGGGTCAGCACCTGGGAAAAAAAAAAATCAGCCAAACACCGTAAATTCATGTGAAGAATGCTTGTCTGACTACACTTTTTTTGGCTGAATCACACTATTATTAATATCATTAGTTAAAGGTAAAGAATTACCAAATAAGTTAAATAAAACCAGTTACTCCTGATCTTTCAGCAATAAAACTCAACTGCCATTCAAACAGGAGAGGAGCTCAAGGTGAATCTTCCGTATTATAGTATTTTAATTAAAAATGTATAAAATAAACATTTTTGACAATAAATGTAATTTTGTACCGTTTTGAGTGAGAAGATTTTATAAAGATGCCAAATAAGTGATATACCTTGATATGATTATCAAAATAGGGCATTATTTTTTTTTGTTGGACAATTGGAAGTGTACAGCTCACCATGGGTTAGCTGTGGACCAACTTGAACAAGTATAATAATAATAAAAAACGAATACATCAAAGTGAGCTGATTCTTCAAATGACTAGTTTTGCAGTACTGACCAACCTTGTTACAGTAAACTTCAACATATACAAAGCTGTTCTTACTTGCACCCTCAAAGCCAAAATAGCTATTCCTTTTGTTTACACAGATAACTTCCTACTCTGAGTCACCCTGACAACACAGAGAGGAGCAGTTAGAGGAAGCAGACTACTAATTAACATTTCCTCTTTTCGGTTTCAGGATTACCTCATTCCCAGACCCGGGGAGGAAGCTTTTAACGGTGACTGTTCTTCCAGGGGCAGGAAACGGGGCTTCCATCACACTACGCATAAAAGGATAAACCAGAGCTGGAGAAATCTCCCTGCGCCTCTCCACTTCTTCCAGAATCTAGAGTGAGAGTTCAAATACAGCATTGTGTAAAACGGCAGCCTTTCTCCACATATTCACAGTTACTGTTGGTGCAGTTATTCAGCCAACTGGTAGAAGGGTGGGGACCCACTGCTGCACACACACAGTCTACAAACACACCCAGTCATTGTTCAGATTATCTTGTAGTGTAGCTTAATTCCATCTCAACACATGCAATGGACAAAGGGCGGTCCGCCCAGAGAGAACCACGTGGTCACTTTACCTTTGCAAAAAGGTTGAAACAGCCCAGCTTGCTGACAATACAGTGGACTTCAGGAAGGCGCTTCCCCCTTCCACTGGGCTGAAAGACACGGGTGAAATGGATTTATTAATATCAACTACAGCATGGAATGTTCCTTAGTCTCAGATACATGTTTTTAAATTGTTACTTGAGAAATGTCAATTAATAAAATCATCATTCATCCCAGTTAAGACTCATTTTATCTGGTACAGCTGTGATTCAGTATGGACACCAATAACCTGGGGGAACACACTCGTCTGCCTCATTTCATCCTTATGTTGTAGAAAAAGGAACAATGTAATGCTCCTTCAGCTCCTGTGTGTTTGCCAGCTGCTCAATTCTAAATAAGTCCAGGTAATCCATTGTAGAATATAAGTAAGGTCTAACTCGAGCTTTCTGCTTCAAATATCTCATAGAGCTGCCACATTTTCTAGAGGCTTGTAAAAGGCTGAGGTTCAGTTTATACTATAATAAAAGGGCAACCTCATCTTAGGCTATTGTACGTGCATTCTTAAAATGTCATTCCAGACCAATAGTAGGGGGATTGCAACATTTACAAGAAGAAGCAGATGTAAACAAAATGAGTAAAAACAATGGCAACACCATGATGAAAGACAAAGACAGAGTTCCTTTGTTTGCCTTATGTCTAACACAAATAGCAATTTTGTTTGTACCAGCTTTGACCGGGACAGAAACTAGGCCGGAGGGATACATTTATTTGACACACAGAGCACGTGGTTAGGCCCAAAAACCTGGTGCAGAATCGAAATTCTCAACTGCATGTGTGTGTCATGAGATTGTTTAGTTTTCCAGCTGAAAAGATTTAAACCGGTGGACCTCTTTGGACACACAGATGCAGACGATACAGACCAGATATGAGAAGGAACCGATCATTTCTATGTCTATGAAAGTAGAAGTAAATTTAAAAAACTAAATTTCCTAAACAGGAACACAGATATTTACAGCACATTTACTGTAAGCCCAAACCAAACAGTTTTTAAAGTTGTCCTGGAGAGACCCTGAACACTATTAAGAGGGAATGGAGAAATTCAAAAATTCTTCTTGCTCTCTGTCATTGATGCAGAAGTTGTACAGTTGCTCCGTGATTCACATCTCCTCGGAGATATTGAGTAAGCACAAGGCTGACTGCCATCATGTCTCTCTCTGTCTCTCTCTCTCTCTCTCACATACACACACACACACAGGTGAGACAATGACTGAGATGCTGAATATAAGCTCATTCACACTCACCAGGATTTTGCGACAATAACAAAACCAGCGGCTGCCATCTTCCCCGGTGAGGACGAACGAGAAAGTCTCACTGAAAACACGAGAAAACAAAGTGGCTCTTTAATGCACTAATTAAAAATGTTTATCTGTGCGGACATTTTGGAATGAAAAACTGCCAAACTGGAGAATGAAAAAATAGTCTTTCTTCTTCTAAAATCGTATGCTATATTAAAAACATCCTCAGAGAAAATTAACTAAAATATAAAATGTTTGTCATAATTGTGAGGGGGTGCACATTCTCTGGAAATATTTGTCCCATTCAATCATTGAAAGCACACAGAAAGAAAGTCAATAAACAGCTGCATCTTCTGTTCATTTCAACTGAAGGCAGAGTAGCAGTGTAAGCTGAAAATCATGGCCCTCAATACAACAATGAACCTTATCAACTGAAAAGTAATGAGGCCCTGTAGCCCATAGCAATCAAAGATTTAATTAAATCAGATGAAACATTAATTATCACTGTGGGGTATTCATGTTGTCAACAGAGTTATATGGCTCGGAGCTGACAGCTGAGGATGTAAAAGGAAAAGAGGAAATGGGGAGATTAAACATAACACAAAGGATAATTACGGAGCCAAATCGCTGTCTAAATACTGTAGATGGTACAAATGTGAAGACAGTGAATTTGTGTGTGCAGTGACAACACAATAGTGACAAAAAAGGATATAAAAGGATATAAATTAATGATTTTAAAAAGCAACACAGACAACCAGCATGATTGTAAAATTCCCCATAAACATCAATGAGACTATAAGCAGACCTGGGCATGTGTGCAGAGGGCTTCCAGTCCAGTGAGTCAGGGAAGCAGAACTTTGGAATGACCTTCAGCTGGTCTTCAGCCTCTTTGGAGACCCGAGAGGACTTCTCAAACTGGAGAAACAGGAGTCTGATTATTTAAAACAGTGTTCTGTGACAGACTTCTGAATATACAGAATAGAGTTAGGATGTTCAAATGTGACAGTAACGCAACGTTAGAAGATGCTAATGTTACTGCAAAGGTTCTTACTAACCATTTTGGGGAACTGTTGCGTTATTTCAGGGGAGTAGGTGTTTTCTGAGGAGCTCTTTCTCAGTGACACCACCACAAAGATCTGGAAGAGCTGCTGCTGCTGGAGCTGAATGAGGTCTCTCTCCAGGGTGCGGTAGCCCGGACGGCGTTTCAGCGTAGACTGGATGTAAACTGATCTCCTAGAGCCAGCTAAGGAACACACAGTGAAGTGATTAGAGCAGTGCTTATGTTGAACAAACAGGATTCAGTCCAGCATTACAGGAACAATTTAGGGCAATGAAAATACACACTGTGCATATATCAAATATCTGTGTCACCTCCTGCAAAGAGGGGAGTTTCTTGGATGATCTGAAAAAGCACGGTTCCCAGAATGTGGAATGAAACAATTGAGTATTTGTACAAGTATTTTTGTCTAATACCTGGGCTATTGACATCCAAACTGTCTCAAAAGGCAGTAAGCAAATATTCCCTTAAAATAATGTTATAGAGAGGTTTAGTAAAGGCCTGTGATAATAACACATTTTGCTAGGCAATATAATGACCCACAAATTAATGCTGCAACGTAACTTTAAATTGCTCCTCAAACAGGCTCACTTTCTGCACTGTGTATTCTAGCGGCCCTGCTTCTCCTCACAGAGACAAAGAGTGGATGATTGACAAGAGGGTTCCCTCCTTCTATTCCACTATGGAGCAAATGCACCCAGGTGCTGCAACCAATGCAGGAACCCTCTTGGTATAGTATCAAAGCTATACATAGGTAGGGCTGATACCCTCACAAATAAACAGTAAATGTTCTGCATTCCAAGTACTATAAAGCATGACATTTTCCAGCCAGCATGTTGTATGGAGAATGCTGCCTGAAATCATGTCAGGTCTTCTGATGCAGCTCTAGTCACAGTGGTAAGTCCCCATATCTGCAGCAGCAAATAATATTAAGTACAAATGTGAGGACTTGTATCCTCTTTCACTTGGTCGCATTTAGCAAACTCTTATTTAAGAGGCTAAATCTGACATTAAAGGCCAAAGGCATTGTGGCACGATTGAAAATTTTAAATAAAGATTTGGTATGTTCAATTACAATATTTGGTGAATTTTGTGTTGATTTGCTATTTGTGTCGACTTCAGACATTAATTTAAGCAATTTGGGTAACTTATCAATCATTAGGTCAACTATAATTAAATCAAACTTATTTTAATAGTAATGCTTTTAAGAAAATGACCTGTGTATCACATGCACAACATAGCTCCTTAAATATCTTAAGGATTACTCCAAGTTAGCAGAGAATTAGCTAACCATTTGATTTTAAGACAAATACGACACAATAGCTTAGGGCTAGACAGTAAATAAAAAACAGTTGGAAAACAAACTGAACAGAAACCTATTTAAAATTTAAAGTAAGCTAAAAGATGATTGACAAAATACCTTAAATAATTGTCCTACAACTGGATGTTTTTGATCTACTAAGTAAAAAAATAGACTGACTAATGTTTGTCTGAACTGGACAGTAACAGATAGAATTTGTAAATATAGAAAAACTGTGAAGAAAATGTATTGTACAAGAACATACACATGGTTTTACTATGGCGCTACCTTTGGTGTTGTCCTCGGGGTCACTCTCTGTGCCGCTGGTCTCCTCTGTTGATATGAATTATAGGAGAGAGACATGAAGGAGCAAACACTGAAAAAACAAACAAACTGGAAGCCATAATCAGATGCAGACAGTGAGCCTTGTTTTATAATCAACAGCTTTGCCTACTGCAGCTGGTCCCATGCGGTGTATACCATCAACGGCTCGGTATTTCCACCAAGAAGCTCAAGTTAATCTTAGTGAAGTGTTGATGTGGGTGACATTTGGTCATCTGTGCGTGTGTGTACCTCTCACTGAGACTCCCTGGTTCTTCACTCTCTTCCTCCCTCGCTTGTCGTCAAAGATGGTCTCGATCTTGCTGACATACTGCGTAGTAGGACACACATACACAGATGCTCTTCAGCCCCGTAATTTCCCAGCCATTACTGAATGATGATTACAGGGAATCATAATATAACAGCCTCTAAAGACATGATTATATTATAGGTTTTCTTCACCCCTACATTCCTGCATTCTTCAGTTAATGCACTGGAAGAAAATAACTGTACATTGAACACGGGCGCTGCACGTATACAGTACATGAAGGTCAAATATATTCAGGGCACTGCAAATATAAATTTATGTAGCAGGATATAGAAAAATAAAACATGCTGAGGTTAATGATATCACAGGCACATTCATAAATACTCATACAGTAGAAATAACCTTTACCTCCAAATTCTGCAGAAACTATAGAATGTTTGGCAAATCATTGGACTTTGTAAAGTCAGGGTTTACATGTAGTGAAACACCAACACCAAAAATGATTCACAGTTGCACTTTTCCAACTAGCTCATCCAGACTTCAATAAAACTAAACTCAAAATGGTCCTAAATCCATGAAATGGAAATGCTTTTATGTGATTAGTCAATCTAGTCGGTGGGAAGAACTTACATCCTCTGAGGTCCCCTCAGGACTTTTGGAGACTATAGGAGTATGGAGTCAAACCCCACGATGGATTTTTATATATCAAATGTAACTCCAATTTAGGAAATTTAGAGCAAAAAGCTGTAAGGCATAACATAGCTTTTCCGTTATAAGGATTTCATATTTTCGGTAACTCAATAGTCCACCAAGCACTTTCACATGTCTGCCTGTGCTCTGACAGCCAGTTACACCAGACCAGACCACGAAGACAGTATTCAAGTCAAGATGTGGAAACAGGATGGAGGATAAACACCTCTTCTTCTTACTGTCATCAGTGTACCTGTCTGCTGTCTAAATTCAGGTCAAGGACTTTCCACCAGCATTTTTTTCTTCTTGCTAAGATCCTGCTAATAAATACCCCAGCTACACACGAACATCACACATGCTTAAAAAAATGAATAGTTGCTTTTCTTAAGAAACTACAAAGGGATTTCATTTCATATGATAATGTATCTAGTTAATACGATACCTTTTTGTCAAAATTCCTCCATGTCCAATTTCTTTCCACTGCCATGGTTATTGAGTTCATGCCTTTTGTCCAACTTTCAAGTCACACTCATCGTCATCTATTTATCGCTATCTATTTCTTCCAGTGTCTTCTCCTTCCTGCTCAACATAACTCCACCCAGCATGACATTATACATTGTTTTACTGTACTATTTATGTATTAGCGATCCCAGTATTAAGACCAGTCTCTAGAACTCACTCACTTGTGGCATCAACAGGGTTCTTTGAGGGTTTCTGGAACAAGGGGGTGCGACGGGTTTGGGACTTTCTAAGGTTTTGGATGTTGCTTGGGAGTTTTTCCACTCCACTCTGCTGCCATAACCTTGTAATGTCTGAGGCTTAGGAGGCAACTGAAAGACAAAAAACTGTCACATTACAATTGGGGCTCGAATAACTACATGATCCTAATAATTATATATTACAGTTCATTAAACTACTTCCTTCTTCCTGCTTCACATTTAATGGTGAAGTAAGAGGAAAATGTCCTTATTTTACCTTGGGCCTTGAAGTGGGTAGACACATGGGGGAATGCTTCACATCTTCATAAGGGTCATCTCTGGTCACATCACCTGGAGGAAGAAAGAATGCTGTAGAAATGTAGGCTGAAAGTTTGAAATATTTTTCTTCTACAACTGTTGCGATCACAAGAACAACTCACAGGCTATGTCCTCATAAATACTGTCATCAGAGTAGGCATGGTACAGCCCTGAACGCCTTGCCTCTACTCCCAGGGTGCCTTGCTTTCCCGTCAGACGAGCTGCATCCTCATATTCGAAGGACTTCCTGTGGCAGGTAAGGAAATAAGGAAAGTGAGACAGAAAGGGCAGCATGCTTTTATTTACATTTCTGCCTAGAGTGAAACCAATGAGCCAAAACAATAATCAAAGTATTGATAAGAGACACTTGGAGGACACAGTGAGCGTGTGGGTTAAACTGCTAAAAGGAAATGACTCAGTATGTAATACAGAAAATTGTAAAACAAAAAAATGTAAGCGCATTGCAAATTTTAAACAGAATAGTTGTATTTGAATACAACGTGCACTCTCTGTGTGGAAGTAAGTGCCACTCACCAGTATTCAAGTAAACTGTCCATATTTTAACCAATTTTCCTCCGTAAGTCCACAACACACAGCATAAACACACAGCACAAAGCAGCTCAACAATGACACAAACGGTGAGGAGGTTCATGTCATGTGACTGTTTTCCTTCCAATCATGGCCATGGTATAATGACACATGCAGTGAATGGTAGGACTAGTTCAACAATGTAGAACAGCTCTGACACTGAGAAAACAGGTCACATGCCAAGTGTGGGAGAAATGTTAGTAAAAAAAAAAACCAGACAATTAGAATACCAATATGAAATGTTTAGTATATCAAATCAAGTCTTCTAGTTTTTTCTTTTATTTGTCTGTACTCATTATTTTTTCCAGATCTTATACTCAGAACAATTAGAGACAGTAATGAGTGACGGTAATATAACAATCAGGGAGGTGTCAGGTGGTCAGGTTACAAAATGAATCATGTCTTTTAAGACAGAGGTGTACACAGTAATGTGTGTGTGTGTGTGTGTGTGAATATTACTTCTTCAGTATTCAACTGGTTTACCTCCCTGTTACCTCACTGGGTCAGGAATCAGCCCACAGTGGGAAACTGAATTTTATTGCTTATACACATAGAATTTATAAGTTACTGTGAATCTGGCCGTGTATTGTGTGGTGAGATTTTCTTTTATATATATCAGACCATGCACTTCGGCAGATTTATGCTAAATCATTGTTGTTGTTGTTTTGGCAGACAGATGTGTCTTAGGCTGATAAAGGTTTAAGGCTATACACACAAATTTAAGTCACTGCAGAGTTCTACCAAAAACCACTGGGTGAGCCTGTGTTTGTGTGTGGGGGTGTGCAGATGATGACCAGAGACTAGTGTAGCTAAGGAACTAGGCCACATCCATACAATAGAGAACAATGCTGGCAAATATTAAGTGACATTACAACTGGGCCTTGGCCAGCTGTAACAGCCAGAGAAGGCCTCTCCTCGAAACGGATTTGAAACATTCTGCAGTCTCAGACGGTCAGCAGACCAATGTATAGTTAAAGGTCTAAGGTCATACTAAATGCTGCTCCTGCAGCTACAGCTTTTATTTACCTATTCAGTGCAGCTTCTTTTAATGGTAGAAAACAACTATTCATTTACGTATTTACTGTGATAAAAACCAATAGACAGTCTGTCCTCTAAACATTTAAGATGAGCAACTATTGCAAAGACATGCTGTGATAGGTGTATTGAGCCATATGGAGGTCAGAAGGGCAAGGAGAGCAAGGGCAGTATGGAAGCTTTGCTGCATTTACTGGCAAATGATTATCAGCTTAAGATACAATATCAGAACAATAAAAAACACAGTATTAAATGAAACGTGACACCAATGTTTAGACCAACCTGTTCTTTTTGTGCCTCGTCAGCCCATTGGTCTTTGTACCAGGATGTGGAGGAGGGGGGAAGTTTGGTGGCTTAGCTATCCTCCGTCTGCTTGAGTCAGAGTTGATAACACAAGACGTAGCTTTTTCCAATTGCACTGTGTGCCCTGAGTGGTTGTTCGGTCCACTATACTGGAATGTCCGCTGAGGTTTTGGAGGAGCCTGGGGTCCACCAGAAAAACCTCTCCCTTTCTCCCAGAGCAGTCTGTCTCCCTCAAGCTTACGCCAAAAACCCCGTGAAGTGTAGAAGTTCCCTGCAGGCATGTTGTCTTCCAGGTCATCAGTCGACAGAGGTAGAGGTTTAGAAATAGCTTCAACATCTAAGATGCAATCTATTTTCTGAGCATCAATGGTACTGATGGTTTGATTTCCTGTAGAGTTGTCTACTTTAGGAAATTGCAATGTTCGTGCTGTAAACTGTTTATTTAGTTGGGGTGTGGGGGAAAGTCCTGTTGAAGGTCTCTGCAGTGGTTCAGATTTTCTAAAGCCAACCAAATGTCCTGTATTTGCTGAACATTCCCGAAAATCTAGAGCCAATGTTTTAACTTTTGAAATATTGGGTTTTGAGCTACCACTGGGGAACCCATTGCCATGCTGATCTCCAGAAAGACTTGGAGATACAGGCGGAGTGTGAGCTTTCACTGCAACACTCGGGCTGCTGCTCTGCTGACTGAGAACTTCCCACTGGGAGATCTTCTCCCTGATATTAATGCGTTGCTCCTTAGAAGGGGGTCTGCCAGACTGAGGGCCCTGCCAGGCTACAGTGGCCCCCTTCTGCAGTCGCTCAACCTCCCCCCACCCAGCCAGCATTGCTGGGAGGCAGGTTGAGGTAGGTGTCAGCACAGTCACTTTTCCTTGAGGAAATTCATTGAGGGTTTCCTACACACACCAACTGGTAGTCAGGCAGAGATACAGAGATGAGAAGTAAGCGCAGCTTCTTCCCACGAGTTTTGTCTTCAGAGGTCCTTCTGCACTGTTGTTTGCTAGGACAGCGTCATTTTCCAGTTGTCTCCTTTTGTAAACAACCTAAACAGACAAGGGTCAAGACAGAAACAATCAGTCACTTGTGAACAAGTCCAGACAAAGCAGTGCAGGATCAAAAAGACATTGGTTACTTTTCAAAAGTCAAACAAGTCAAGTGGTCTGAGGTGAAGGAAGGGACAGATAAGATGATAAGGAAGGATAAGCTTCTGTCATGTCAGTTTCCAAAAATAAATTCACAAAGAAAAAGGAAGCAAGGACGCTGGATCATAGTTAAGGACAACTGTGTGCTGCTTTTGAGTCAGTTTTCTCCAAAACTGTTGTCCTAAACTGGAGAACTAGCCAATTGAAAATTCCTATGATACAGCAAAGCGTTAAATCTAATTCAGCGATCTCACAGAAACTGTCTTTCACATAAGTTTTTTTAACTTTGAGTCATTGAAAAAAAAGTCTTTGGAAGCACATAAAATTGTAGCCACTAAAGAGACCGCAGTCATAATTAGGTGAATTAGTGACATCATTTTAAACCACACCTTCCCAGGGAGTATAATAAAACTGTTTAAATGGTTGTAAAAATTTATCAAAGTTAATTATATTCAGCTGTTTCTAGATAGTGGTGTACATGAGTCTTAATCAACCCCAGTTTTGTGTTTTTCCTAATAAAGGGTGTAGATTCTAGAATTGTTGTGTTTTTGTCTGTGTAACCAGAGGTTTTAATTTTGTTGTTTAGGTTGTATGGTTAGGTCTGGGCTATTGTGAAAAATGAAAATAAAGAAATAACAATTATACCATAAGTTTTACAAGATTTATATTTTCTATTTTTAAAAGTATTTACCTTAAAGTAGACAAGTGTAAAAAATAAAGGGGGAGAAATAAAAATGTGGGTTGTGCAAGATTTACACAAGTATAAATGCTGTAAAACAGACAGATTGATATAAAGTGCTTCAGTGAATGCAGCTGCACACGGACAGTAAAATCCCTGAGTCAACATTGAGGTAGTGACTGTACACTGTTGTACAGCTGCTGCCTTTCTGGAACCAAACCATTTGGACACGTTGCACATTAGGACTGGGACTGGGAAGAATCCGGAGAAGGGGAGAAGTTGTAAAGTTCCACTGCACAGCTCATGATCACAATAACATTATGTGCTGCATTCCAATAAAAGTGCAGGGAGGTTGGGAATAAATTCAACTAGAGACACTCAGTCTGTCAGTCATGAAAGTGAATCCTTTGTTTGGTTTGACCTACATCATATAAGTGTGCAGTCGATTATGGCTGCAGCAACTTCAGACCGTGCAATAACAATGACATTAGTCCAAAATTGACCCCCTTGCATGAGTTGTCTTAGTGTGGTGTTATACAGGAAAGAATGAGTTGTATGTGTAGTTGAAACGAAACCAAATCTGTATCAATGTGATAAAATTTAAAAATATATCCACAACAGCAATTGTGATATGACGTGACAAAGCCACAAGGCAAGTCAAAATAATTTCCACTGATGTTTATTTGGCTGTCTTGTATGTATTAAGTGAAACTCCCTGACTCATCTATGGAGAAACCAGACATGAAACCCATGAAGCTGGATTGTTGCTGCCATTAACTTGACAGTTGAATTAAACATAATAGTACCTCAAACCAACCACAAAACACACCCCTGAAGTAGCACGGCATGACACAACATGCAGCAGGTAAACCGGTGTGGCTTTGCCATGTACTGAAACCATTAAAGCTCTTTTAAAAGAAAAATGTTGCTTTGCTAAACACTTGCACAAAAACCACTGTGCAAAACAAGACAAACAAAACTAAAATCGTCATAAAGTGTTAGACCAAGTAGAATGCATTTTTATATAGCATGTAAATAAATGACTGAATGGTGGACTATATAAATTGACAAGTTTGACCTGTAGTGAAATTCCTCAAAATTTGTCCTTAATTTAGAGAATTCAAACCTTACATACGAAATGCCAATACGAACTTGAACATGTAAAACAATCACAGACAAAACTGTGAGACAAGTAATGCATATTTTTCAATTAAAAACAAAGTGAAACTTAAAAATAGGAGCAAAAAAACATAATATTATATATAATATTTTGGTTGTTAAGGTATTCACCCATTACAACTATTGATGTGGCTGTAGAACCAACCACATAATTTGATAACCCCCAGCGATTAGTAGTCAGTAAACACTAAAGAAGACACTAAATCTGCCCAAATAACATTCAAATGTGTATGATTTGTTTTGCAAATTACTGAATTGCATCTGACAACAAAGAGCTGGTCCATAGAGAACTCACAAAAAAACTGCTTCATTTTAAAAGGAATTGCTAAAAATTTCCAAAAGCAATAAAAACACCACAGAAGTCATTAAGAACAGTAATATACAGCACGACAGCAGCACAACACTGAACCAAAGGTCTCCCAGAAATCAACAGACAACACAACACCAAAACTGCATGGAAGCCAACTGTATTACATCAATTAGTTAACTGCACAGTTTTTATTGCCAGGAACTAGTGGCTCCTTCCAAGTAAATCACCCACGTTCTTCATTTGTCTGGACTGTGAGAAATTATTGCAAGAACTTAGAAGCCTTTTTGTAAGGCATCAGAGCCCAGCGGAACACTGCGAAAAGGTATATCAAGTTTCCTAAAAGCATGTGGAAAAATTTGTGATGGTCTGATGAGACCAAGACTGAACTCACAAGACTGAGAGGTAAACATGGCACAAAATAACAGCGCACATCAACAAAATGCACCATACACAACAGGGAGCATGGTGCTGGCAGTGTCATGGTTTAGGGCTGTTTTCTCCTCAACCAAAATTACAGGATTTGTATAAATTACTTTAAACAAAACTAAAAAAACTAAAAACAAAAGTTAGAAAATTAGCCAATCAAATCAAAATCTGTTGTTACCCGTCAAGGATAGTGCAGAGAAGATCACCTGACACTGACTGGAGTGGCCAAAAAATGCCACTTAGATCACAAATCAACACATGCAGTTTTGAAAACATTCCTTCACAAAAAGCCAATATATGTGTTACTAGTGTTACTGGTGGCCAACACCCATTCAACACTATCATATAGTGTTATATATAGGTACTGGTCTGGATTCTGCTTATATATGGCAAAGAGCAAAGTATAATACGTTTTACATCCCAGGTGCAACAGAAGGAATGGATCTCTGGTCTTTGGTTAATCATCCATTGGACTGTTGTACCTAAACATGGCAACACCTGCAGTTAACTCCTGGCTTTAGGAATAACTATAAGGTCAATGAGATTAGCGTACATTGGTCTGTGACTTACATTATCCTGCTTTTAATTTGTGCTTTAACTGCACTGTGGATGCAGCAGAACTAGATGCTGAAATCACTATCAGCATCCAGAGGCCTTTCAGAAAAGAGACTATCTGTCTAGTGTAAAGCCTACTGTAAAATATATGGAATTCCATGACACCTCCAACTCAGCCTGAAGTCAACTGTAATTCGGTTTAAACAATAGGCCAAAAATAATTTACTGTACACATTAAGATTACATAATTCTCTGTACAGCGATGGCTGTCAATCGTTAGCTACAAAGACATTGTCTTTAAATGTTAATAATGGTCAAATATCTACCGTATAGTTTCGTATGTGTATGCCTAAATGAACATATTGACCCATCAATGTGAAAACAGCTCTATATTATTTTATTTAAACAATTACCTCTTCACTTACAATTAGATAAATTAAATTAGCAATATTTCCAGCTGAATTTGGTGCTATACGTAATTGAGAGAGCGACTTGAGCGAGATTATTGCATAGATGTAAACCAAACAAATCGATTTTTTAAAAAATTGGCAGAAACATCCCCCATTGGAAAGTTTGTTAGTTGATATGTAGTCTGCCAACAAAAAGTATCAAAATAACTGAGATAAAAAATACTTACAGTTGCACGTGATGCCTCTCGTAGAAAATGCACCCAGTAGTTCAAAGTGTCGAGAAGCAAAGTTTTCTCATTTTTCTCGTTTCAGTTAAAAGTGTTGTTTTGTTTAAAAAAGTAGAACTCCATCGGCTCGCAGTTTTCAACGCTGTGGAACGGTTAGCAATGTGAGATATATCCAGCGTAACGTAACTATTTTAGCCATGCTGCAAATTACAAAGAACTTATAAAACAACAAAAAATCTTGGTCCAGTTTAAAACGTCTCATCTACTTGTGTCTTGCAATTGCGTCAAAAACAACAAAGAAAGTGTTTAGGAGTGAGTGAGCAGTAAAGCGGAACACTCCTAGCTCCACTCCTCAGGACGGTTACCATCTAGTTGAACCTAGGAAATACAAACAACTTCCGGTAGCCATTTCAAAATTACACATGGGGTTAGCGCTAGTAACGCAATATGAAAAAGAATTGAGGGGGCTGCGATAACGGGGGCTTAAAATAACAAATACATGCATTTTTATTAGTGATTTGTACATCAACTGAATAATATTGATAGGTTTTATGAACTCTGAGGCTAATTTTAGCTATCACAAACAAGACACTTTTTTATTAGTAGTACTTGATCACTAAAACATGTTAAAATAACTGTCAGCTGTACAGGTCACTCAATAAACAATCTATCTTTAGTTACTACGTTAACGTACACAACAACATATTTTACACAAACATACTATAACGTAACAAATTCTGTCAACTAACCTAATGCTCTGACTTCCGGTTTATCTCAATCTGTGTATGTCGGACTTGACGCAGCTCAGACTGAGAAGACTGTTTGATTCCCTCGGACGGGAGAAAGAAGACGTCATCACATCCACGCAGCTGTCAACAATAAACGAAATAGCTGTCTTTATGCGACACGGGAAATAGTGACGCTGACTACACACAATATGCACTATGTATATTTAGGCGTATCCAAGAAAATGCTTAAATAGGCAAACAACCTTTAAACAGATAATTTAAAGGTGTAAGTTGAACAAAATTCTACATAATATAAGCTTGATGCAGAAACTGCTAAGAAATTAGGTACACTTGAAGGTGCAATTTGACAGAAACCTTAAATAAATCAAAATTAGTTTAAAAAATAGCAGATACATCAATTTTATTTTTTATCATTCCAATACATGATGTTTTCCCCATACAAAATACACATAACCAAAGGCAACGCACAAGGCTATTTGACACCGATGTGCAAATAATGTACAGAAGAGAAGACAAACATTAACCAGTTTGTTCTTGCAGAGGAGAGGACATCAGTTAGAAGGCCACTTTCTTTTACACTCACTTTGTTAACAGTGATAGTGAAAAATAGATTTAGAAGCTGTAGAAATAACCTGTGTGTCAGACTGGACTGTGTTCAATCAACCTTCAGACCCTCCTTGATCAGGTCGAGCTCATAGCACAGGGTCTCATAGCGGTAAGCCATACGGATCTGGGCCACGTTGGTTTTGCGGATGTCGTTGCCTTCTGGACCCTCCTTCAGGTAGTCCTTACCCAGGAAGTGGAGCTTCTCCTGGAGGTGAATGCACCAGAAAGTTTCTCAGTGCAGTAAAAACAGAAATTGCAAACATTTTCTTCAAAAGTCACTCTCATTCTTTGTTGTCGTTTTACCTCATTAGACAGACCACTCTGTATAACACTGTTCCTGGCAATCTCACACATATCACAGGTGCTAAGCTTGAAGACCTGAGCTGCAATGGCATATTCCTCCATTAGGGGTTCCTGTGAACACAGAGGAGAACCGTCAATGGGCTTCACCCAACATCTACTGCTTGTTGTGTTACACTGTTTTCTTTCCCCGAGAGGATGAGCTGGAAGTGGCAGATGTCAAGGAAGATGTTGAGAGGATGATGAATTCAAATTAAAAAGGAAGTTTGGGATAAGTAGCTTGGAGATAAAATATTATAGATAAGTGTTATGGATGTAGCTGCCAACCAAGAGGAAGAGGAGAATGTGGGATAACATTGATGGATGTGGTGCAGGAAGATATAAGATTATTATAAGATTTTTGTACAAGCATAGAATTGGAGGTGGAAACCTCTGAAAAGGAGCAGCCAAAAAAAAAAAAAAAGTATTACTGTGTATTATTCAGGTTGTCGTAGGTCTGACCTTGGACAGCTCCTAAGGCCATCACAAAGAAATAAACAACATTGCATTTAGAATTAAATCAGTGTGACAAACTAAAAAACCACAGATGTGGGTTCCACTTTCCATTTTTATTTTGGGTTTTTCACTGGCACCCACATCAGGGCCTACTGCATATGGAATGTTCTCATAGTTAGTGCTGCTTGTTGTGCCAGTGTGGGATTTTAGTTTGTATGCACATGTGTGAAATTGCTTATAGAACATCAAAGCAGTACTGCATATGAAACAATGGCCATAATACACCGTCTGGTACAGTATGTAATGTAAACAACATTGTTATGTTATTCTCTTTGACCTTTGTGTAGTGGAACTGCATGGGGTCGTCAGTGGACAGAGACACCACCAGGCCCTTCTTTTGGAACTCCAGCAGGGGGTTCTTGGCGTACTCCAGGAACAGACTGTTGTTGCTGAGGGGGGACATGGCGATGGGGATCTGGGTCAGGAAGTACAAGTACTGCAGCACAGGGCTCTGGTGATGAAAGTATGAGAAATGCGGTCCGTTAACAAACACAGGTAGAGTTTTCAGTTCCCTGTGGCAAACTGCAGTTCCACTGTGATCATGCAGAAGTAGATCGACCGCCAGTGAAGAGCTGACACCAGAAGTAACGCTGTAAAAATGTAGATGTGAAAATTAGGCTAATTTTCACTACGTACTGAGTCACTCCACAGTTTCCTGATAAGTGTTAAAAGTCAGTCACTAATTTGAAGTCTTTTCCAATTGAAATGTTGTCACTTGAAAAATCAATCAAGTCAAATCACAGTCTACTTCCATGTCAGTATTTCTCTGTATGTGTTGCCCAAAAACAATCATGTCTGTATGAACTGATCAAACGTATTCATTTATAACATATGGGATGCTACAGAGGGAGACCAACCTTCTTAAGATTTAGGCCATGAGAGATGTTGTCAGCTGTCATGAAGGCAGCCAGCAGATGGGTGATGGCACCAGCTTCACCGCAATGAGGCCTGAACATGAATGTGTTCATACCCCTCTGTCTGTGGAGCACGAGACAAACATGTCCTTCAGTGTTTACAGAGGGGAAGACAGAAAGTAACAGCTAACAATTACACCTTACAAGAGGGGTGGGATACATTCACTTACATGCGGAGCTGGTTGAGCACAGCAATGTTTGCATACATGTAGTAAATGTAATAAGTGTAGGAGGGGTTCTTGGCAATGTCCCACTCCTCTGGTTTGGGGCTCTTGGTGGAGAACATGTGACCACTGTGTTTGGATTCATCGTCCACACTGTCGAAACCTGTAACCTACACAACAGGGGGCACTTGGTCAAGTCTGAAGGCCATTGAAAACTCAATGTTTCAGTAAACATGATCAATCACTTTTGAAATATCAGTTAAGACAATCAAACAGCCACACGTCACAGAGATGCCACGCACTATTCTAAATCTAATGGGTTAATTAAGCTAAGCTAACTAACCAAACAGAAGCAAGTGGTCGCTCTGTTGTCTTAGAAAACAAAACTACAGAAAACGTATTAATGTTTCTGGGTTTTTTTATTTTCTCTCTTGTAAAATGACTGTAAATGGTTTATAACAAGGAATAGTAAATTTAAGTAATTCCAGGTTTTAGCACAGGGATATAATGGAGAACCCATCAATGTCATCAATAATTACTTACTGATTCGTTTCTAGACTTTTCACTCACGTGTTTGAGGAAGATGCTGAGCTCAGGGTTGGACTGTGGGTTGATCGTAGCCTGGAACACTGGGAGGAAAATGTTCTCCAGCATTTTGCCAAAGTGGGGAACAAAGTTCCTGCCTCTGAAGATGTCACTGTGGTACGAGAGAGAAAAACAAATCAACAGATAATGAATTTGTTGCTGATGAGATGTTGTTTCTAATTAATAGCAGGATAGTTACAGTTATTGATCCTAGGTGGATCACAGGGTAAGGAACAAAGGCCGGACTTTGAAAACTTACTAGATCCTAGGAACTTGAATCATCCATTTGAGGTTAGGTGAGAAGACTCTGTTCTTGACGAACCAGCTTGAAAGCTTCGTCCACTCACTGGGATTGCAGCCGTAAATGGACAGACGAGGCTCGGCGTACTGGTACTTAGCATCCTCCAGGTCACTGGCCACTTCCTTTTTTTCAAACAAAGATTATATCTGGAATTTTAATAACACCAAAATAAAACATATAACTCAACTCTTATCTAGAAAATGAGGTTGCTAAGCATCTGACTTTGATAATGGTGGCAAAATATTCTCCCCCGATGTGGTTCTCTGTTTTCAGGTACAGGTCACGCAGCTCACTGGCTCCCACTGGGTTGTACTTGGCGTTGAATTTATCAAAGCGCTGGAAGGTTTGTCTGCCCTTCAGGGGAATAACAAAAGACACAATGACTTAATAAGACTGACTAAAAGAGGATACTTTCCTCATATAAACACAATCTCAACAGGACAAATTGATATAGAATCTTTTATGACTTAATCATCCATTACAACTGTTTTATACCGGCTTAGATTTTAGGGTCACATTGTGAGTTTTGAGCTCACTGATGTAATCCGAAATCACCCATTACTTTTCTAAATTGTTCAGAAATTGTTTCATAATTGTCTGTTATTTTCTCCTTTAACGTAACGTACAGCGTGCACATCCAGGGAGTCCACGGTCAGGTCGTAGGGGTGCAGGTTGAGAGACTCAAAGAGCGCCTTCATGGTGACCTCCTTGCCTTTCAGTTTGTGCACCACACGGTCGGCGTCCACACGATAGGACTTCTTAATGAAGCGCAGCAAGTGTTTCTGGTTCATGCAGGCGGCAGCGTGGATGTGAGTGTCAACCTGGAAAAGAGTGAATCACGTGATGCAGCAGCTGTATTTCGGCACTAGAGGGAGCTAAATAGTCACAAGGTGCACTGCACGTGCATTACTTGGAAACAAGTGAGGGCAGACTGAACGAAACCCAAAGGTATGGGCTGTGATATCATGAGCATCATCATCATCATCTGATTGGAAGGAAAGATAATAATGACGTAATACCTTCCTGCAGTTGTAGAAGTCCCTGTGGGGGTTCACCTTCAGCTCCTTCAACTCCTCCATCTCATTCAGCATTTCATGCACATTGAACTTGGACATGAGGAACTTGAGACGGCGATGAGTGTAAGTCTTGCTGCAAAAAAAAAACAAAAACAAACAAACAAAAAAAACAGGAGAAATCAGAACATGATTCAAAAGATATCAAAGTGAGGTAAAAATCAATCACATAACAGTCTGAAATTCCAAGTATTTGTTTGTAATAAAGAAAAAATTAGATCAAAAAGAGTAAAAGGTAAAAACAAATGCGCAAGAAAACACAATAATAATATTAATATTAAGACAAGTTAGCTAAAAATACTGAAAATTTGCTGAATAGTACTGAGTATCAAAACATCTTCAAAATGATCAAACATTTTTAAATTTTATTTCTATAATGCAGTTTGTAGATCTGTTAGTATAAGATATACTGGTTTTTAAGTAAAAACCTATTAGACTGAGCCAAGAAATCTTTAAAGCATTTCTTAGGAAAGAAAAATAGTACATTTCTTGTGCTATTAAGATCAGGTGACAAATCTTGACCTAATGGCCAGTTTGTGGACCGTGTAGACCTTAAATTACAGTCCAGTCAGGGTTTGTCTAAAAGGAGACGAGGAGAAAGTAGCAAATACCTGACATGACTTTGAAACATTAGACGCTGCTCAGATTCGGCACACAGGTAAAACCATGCTGGGACATATTTGAAAAAGTGAGAGGAGAACTTGAAAACACTCACGTTGGGCCCTGAGCAATGAGTGCAATGAGGAAGTTCATGTCGTCAATGAAGGTGGCATAGTCGGAGCACGGCAGGTCCTTGGGCTGATGCTTGTCAGCGGCTGCGTCATCGTTGTACACGTACATGAGACCTTCCTTCATGCGAGCCACATAGCCCAGGTTCTGTGGGAGGCTATTAAAATCAAAGGGGTCTTCCCCGGTCTTTGGAGGAGGTGTGAAGACTGAGGGTGTAAAAGACAAGTTGTTGATGAGTGTAACAGAGAGCAGAAGTAACTCAGGAGCTCCTTCTCCTCTCCTCACCTGGCTGCACCTGGTCCTCAGGTTTGAAGGTCTCTCCCTCGATCTCACGCAGAAACTGGGAGGTTGTTCTGGGATAACGCTGATAGGCCAATCTCATGTACTTCTCCCTGATGGTCAGTGCCCGGTACAGACCCTTACAGGACAACTCAAAGTCATCCATGGTCACCTAAAAATCAATCAAAGTCAGGGTCAAAACTATTCAAAACTTAACTCTTATGTTGTTTAAACACCTGTTATATTACAATAACCATTAGGCTACTTTGAACAAGAAACTCACAGCTGTATGGAAGTTTGAGGACATGAATGATAATACCATTATTAATAAGATGAAGGAGTTGGAAAATAGGTAAATAAGGTAATTAATCAGGTTAAATCTCAGAAGATAAACTCTGACTAACACACACACAAACACACACACACACTTTTTACAGATATCGCACTCTCTCTCTCTCTCTCTCTCTCTCTCATTCTCTGTAAATGTCAAAGTCACAGCTATGAAACCCTAAACCTGGCCACCACTCTGAGATCAGCACAATTCACTGGCCAAGGGAAGATCCTCACTTGTACGGCCGGTCATGTTTGAAAAAAGTCTTTTGGTTTTTCTAATAGTTCCCATAATTCTCAGTGAATACATTGGTTTGAGATGTCAGAACAAATACATAAATGGCAGCTGAACTGCACCAACTAAAACTAACAAAAGATTTTTTTATATAAAAATTATAAAGAGAATTAGAAACAAAAACAGTAAAAGTAGTCATTAGCCTAAAGTTTAATGTTAACACTAAATAATTTGCTAGAATAACTTAATAACAAAAGTCAGCCAAAGTAGCTAAGATTAGCTGAAGACAGTAACCTGGAAGTAGTCACAAGTGTGGAAGGAATGTGAAAATTGTTAATGATGATAAAAGTTGACAAATAATTGTCAAAATTCTTTGAAAAATACCAAAATCCATACAAAATTGAACACCAATCTAATTAAGAAAGTTAGCTTGAAAATAAAATTATACAAAGAGTAACTAACTGTTACTTAAAGTTAGCCATACAGGAACTAAAATAGTACAAAAATATGGGGATAAAATATTCAAATTATACAATATATACAAATTATATTACAAAAACGAAATGCTGTAAGCAATATAATTAATGGGTTTTCAATATAACAAGGGAACCTACTTTGTTGGAAAAGTACAAATTATTATTTTCAAGAAACAAAAACATTGTTTAGAACATAGAACTTGCCAAGTAAATAAATTTAAGTAAATCCTAACGTGTTAAAGCGACAGTACCCCAGAGGCATAGTCTCCAATGATGGCTACTCTCTGGAATTCAGGCACTTCCAGATAAGCTGGAGTGTCCACTTCCAGCTTCATTACAGGGGCAGTTGCCTGAGTGGAACCTTTGACTACAGTGAGGGTACGCTGGTGCTTCTTGCTGTGGATAGAGAGGTAAAGATTAAAGTTTGTCCAAAAATATCATGACAAGTGAAATGAAACATGCATCCACGAACTTTTAGGCTGCTCCTGTGAATGTTTTTAGAGCACAGTATAAATCAAGTATTTTTACATGCAGTCACGTGTCTCTGTTTCCTTTCATTAACTGACCTTGAAGGCGTTGGAGGTAATATAAGAATTATTTAAACTGAGTAGAGAGTGGTCTGATAAGAACCATTCCATGTTGTTCAGTACTAGTAATGATATTTTGAGTTATTTAGAGACTGTTTCTTTCATTATCATTTGTGACAGCATGGCTACATTCATAAAAAGGAAAAGGAAAAGGCTCTTTACTACTCACAGTACCTGAATCCTAGTACTAAATGCACTGAGAAATGATAAATGATCACCGTCTCTCAGCGTTGTCCTCAGTGTGCAGATGATGGGCCATCTCATGATGGATGATAGGACAGTCCTCAGCCACATCGAACATTGAGATCTCATCACGGATGTCCTCACTTTTGGTCTCAGATGCAAAGACCTGCTCCGCGAAGGCCCGCATCGTGTCATCGGTCTCTGTCAGGTACCACAGAGGCACATTGTTCTGTCAAGGCAGGAAATCCACTTTGCACCAAAAATATTGTCACTAACATAAAGACTTCTGGGCCATGAAGCAGGAGCACTGATCTATGTTGCACCAAACCAAAGTGGAATTATATTTGGTTGTCATGTGGCTCACATTATGTGCATCATTCATAATGTGATCCACAATGCGCATGCATGGAGACGTCAATACAAAAATGAGTCAATGACACTGTTGGTTCAATGGGCACACACATACAGGATAATACCTGTGCGGACAGTCCAACTCCAAACCCAGTTTTCTGGCCTTCTTTTGTTGTGTATTTGGTATTTGATTTTTTTTATAAAAAATTGTACTGAGATTTTTTAAAGGGAAAAAATGACCAGAAAACTGGGTTAAGTATGTGGAGTTATGAACAAAACCAGCAGCGTTTCAACAGTGAAGCAGCGGTCAGGTTTCATGGGAAATAAGAACTGAACATGAGCAGCTGTAGTTCTGCTCTGTAGATCCAACTATAAACTACATGCACTTCACTAGCCAGGAGCCAAAGCTATCTACTATAACTATCCAATTCAGTTCATGTCACATGACTACAGTTCATCTACTTCATGTACTTACTCTGTTGACCTGAGCAACCAGCCAGAGAGGAGCATCACCCAGAATAAAACCCAACACAGAATTAATCAAAATCATGTCTTATAATCTGTCCATGTTTACTACAGGTGAAACTATAATCAATATTACTTGTATTTATTAATATATTTTCCTTATTTAAAACTAACATCATTCTATTGAGCTGAGCAGGTTGTTCCATCAAAGTTAGATCTATAGGTGAATGTTTTACATATAGACAAACTAATGTTTCAGAGAAATAAGCCACTAGGCTATGTCAATGACATTCTGCATGTACAGCGGTTATATATAGGATATACTGTATAATAGGATAATTAAATTAACATTTCCTTATTATTGACAATTGTAAAAAATAATGTATATTGAAGGATATAGTTGACATTTAGTATTTATTGAGATTTTTATTTTTACAGCAAGTTTTGAGGAAGTGCAGGGATTAATTCATTAATACTGTAAATCTGACAATAACAAGTATTGTTATTATTATTATTATTATTTTACAGCAATGGTTCTGAATATATTCAATGTCATATTCAATACAGATACAGTCAGAGTGAGGGGAAATGCTGTATGTCTCTTTGACACCACCTAATGTTATTTCTTCTGTAACATTTATTATTTCAATTCTCAAAAACACTTTCTTTCCTGAGATAGTTGTCACAGCTGCCTGAGTCAGGTGAGAAAAACTTTTTTTTCTCAGTACTCCTCCTTCCCAAACAAACAGGGTCAAAAGGTCATGCACACAAATAAGGATGCTTCAAAGGTTTGTGTTGCATTCAGGGACAGACTTTCGGTGACATTCAAATAGACATATCAGAACGGCTTCTTTGCTGCAGTTCTGTCTTTGTAACAATCACAATGAAAATATTTGATGTGATGGTTCACTCTCAGTTCAGTCTCTATGCCTTGATGATGCTTTACCCCTGAAGTGCGCCATCCACAGGCAGAAAAAGGAAACTGACACTGAGTGTGAACAATGCATCAATAAACTCTTCCAACAAATGTTTGACTGACGAGACATCTGAGCAGTAAACCATGCATCTGTAATGGTTTCATTTTCTCCGATGTCTCTGTTTATACTCACCTTCCACTGGGAGGTTAGCAAAAAAGAGGCAGTCAATGTAGAATGACCAGGTTAGAGAGAAACAAAACAGGTGTGGTTATGTCTTAGGGCTGCAGTTAGCATGTGAGCTACAGCCTACAATCTTATACATATTTTCGAATGCTAACACTAAACTGTAGGGTCTTGTGTTTATGTATCACTTATTTTCCTCTAAATAGAACTCTAGACCAGTGGTTCTCAAACTGTGGCACACTGTCTAGTGATACAAAATTCATACTTTCATATTTACAGTTGAATAAATCTGAAACATGCTACAACAACATGGCTGTTGCTACATGCTTATCTATAAGGGCTACACTAATTTGTTACTTTTTTGGGTACATTTTAGTAAGTCTTTAATGAAGCTAGGCCTCAGGGAGATTTGAATTCACGACCCCTGGTTTACAAGACCAGTACTCTAACCACTGAGCTATGGAGCCCGTATTGACAAAGTACTAAATGCTATTGTGTTGAAACTGATCATTATCTGCATATAGAGGTTAATACAATAAGAAATGAACAGCTTCCTTATAAAGCTGCACTAGTACTACAGTACTTAAAACTTGATACACTGCTCTACTGCGATCATTTAAATGGTCAAAGGGTTTTAGTGACTCAGGGTGAATTTTAGTTGCTGGTAAAATGTCTAAAATATCTCCTGTTATTTGAACGATTTGCAGAAAGAGCAGAAGGCCAAGTTTAACTTTAATGAATCTCATACTCCTCAATAAAAACTTTTTGACACCTGTGTTGTACATGAACTTGGACTTTCACACCACCACTGGTGTGAACCCTTCAATGCGTCATCAGAATATCACAACATCCTAAACCACACATTTTTTGGCCTGGGAGACCAAGCTAAAGTGAGCAACCTACATTGAAAACACTACTGAAATGCTGTACTGATTAAATACATGTAACTCAGTGGTACAATATGGTAAAAATCCTTGGCTCATGAACTACCAGCACTCCCTCTGTGATCTGTTGGCAGATCCTGTTCTACACCATCACAATCTTTGGAAGTACGAGCAGTGAAAGTCCGCTCTTCAGACTCCAGCTGGTCAGAGCTTAGCTTTTCTATTTTTCACCACTTGAAAACATCCTGCCTCATGTCTGCTGGAGGTAAAATTAGGATCTGTTACACCAGTCTTTAGAATAGCACCGGGACCCTTATACACACAAGATGCTCGGCAAGAACGAAGAGTCTGCAACATGGTGTTTCCTCTTGAATATACTGCTAGGACATAGCGTAATAATACATAAATATTAACTGTTCATTTTTTTCTCACACTGAAGCCACCCCAGATATTAACAGAACTTCACTGCTGACTTTTAAAAAAAGCTGATAGAACTCTAAGACTCCACTGAAAACGACTGAGCGCGCACACATTCCAAATTAATTCATATGCATTCACCACCCACTAGTCCTGTCAGTGAAGCTGTCAGTGGCAGCACGAAGCGAAAATTAACTAATGGGAAATTATTGTCTGTATGGCTGTGTGCAGTGGAAGGGGTGTGTCCGTTCAGTCCAGTCATTCTTTCTGTCCACCTTCAACCACAGCAGTAAGACGGGTATGTTCAGTTGGAGGGGAGGGGACTTCAATTACACCCACTATATATTTTTTTTGTTGGGCTTTTTACTGGAAGAGCCACATATTGAACATCATTGCAACCACAACGTTGTGTTACATCTAGAATTCATGTTTAAGCCACATCATCATCGTCATCATCATCATTGTGTCCACACTCACCTGGCACTAGGACTTTAGGCATGGTGATGCTCTTCCTCAGCAACGCTCCCTGAAGACTGGTCAAAGGTGGTCAGGTACTGGACCACTGCAGTAGGGAAGTGTGGGTCCCTGTGGCTGCTCTCTGAAATATTAAGCTCAGCCCCAGCCTCACGTGTAACCAGAACCTGCTGTGTCCACACTGGACACGCCAAGAAGTCACAGGCACCAGATCTATTTTAAGGATCTGTATGTGCACGGAGGGACCGCAGACTGGCACGGTGTGTACAGACAAAGACAGAGGGGCAGGAGTGTGTGTCAGTGAGAGAGAGAGAGTTTTTTACATTAGCACAGATAGCCACACATGTTCAGTACACGGTATACAGCACTGTATATTCAATGCAAAGCATCAACAGTTGCTGCAGTTCATCCTGTGCAGGTTCTTACAGAATCCTTCACCTCTGATACAGTAGGTTTTTGATTTTTTTGGTGATATCATTATAAAATGTAAAAAAAGAGAGTTTTCTTATGTCTCTCTTTGTTTGTAGCCTTTCGAGTTCCTTTTAAATGTAAATCTTTTTTACAGGCCAACAAAAGAGCAACCACAAATGTATATGCTGTAATATCATGGAAACATCACTAATATGACATGATCACATGGGCCAAATATAATCACACCATGGGCCAGATTTGGCCCGCGTGCCTGAGTTTGAAACATGTTATCTAGACTATCTATCATTGTCGAGAGAAACAAACCTTAAGGACAGTTCATCCACATTAATACTTTACATACCTTGGTTAAAATCCTAAAAAAAAAAAAAATTCCAAAAACAAACTCAGAAACCAAAAAAAAAAAATCCAAAAAAAAAAACAAAAAAAAAAAAATCCTTTAAGCTGTTTGACTCAGTTCAGTCAGCTGGGTGGTCTTTGGGTCAGCGTCTGCTGAACGATTGGCCCACTGAGTTTTCATAAAGGATATCAGTGAGCTTTCACCAAAGCTGGCCAAACATCATGGCACTACTGTCATCACCTTCACTGTTGGACCAGGGGTGTGGGGCTTATTATGTGTTTGTTATTTTGTGTCCTGAGTGTGAATCCCCATGTATCTCTCATTTGTCCTTGATCACAACAATTTTGACTATTCATGTTGTTTCAATATTAAATTAGAGAAATGTTAGCCAGATGAAAGAACTGAGTAAGTTAAGTAGTGATTTAAAGGTATGTTTTCAATTTGGTTTAAAATATTAGCTTATATTAGCACCATTATTTGTAAGGAGATTTGGCACAATGCTCAGATGCTATATAATTAGTGTAAAACGGCGTTTTGGCGACTGAATCCAAAACACTTGTGCATCTCTGTTCATCCATGGCAGCTTGGAGACACGTTACGAGGCGTCTATTTTTAGGGAATGTGATCTTAAATGTCAGGGTTCCGTTTGCAGCATGTCTAGTTTAAGATATCAAGTGGAAAACTGGCAGTTGAGCGAGAGTTCACAAGTGAAAATCCCAGGGAGGTTTGGAAAAACAGCCAATAAAATGACAAACCTTTGGGATATTTAAATTGACCAAATGTTCCCATCATGTCTGGAAAGGACACCTGCAGGACATGAGCAGAGAGAGAAGGGGGTTACGTTTCATATTACCTCAAAATTTATAACACACGGACGTTTTCACTATCGAATAACAACAGCTGCTTTGCTGACCTGCTGCCCAGTTGATGGATGATGTTTGGATGAAGGCCAGACACTCGTCAATGCTCGTTTCTCCAATTTTTCTAAATGTAGTCAGAAAATCCTGCTCAGAAATAGTAAGAAATAGTAAATAATACATTTCTACAATTTAGTCTTAGGTCACATGGCAAAATGAAAAGGTTTTACTGCAACAAATATAAAATATAGGATCAAAAACTAACTCTAATTAAAAGCCTGTGGGGTTGCACCTTTTACCACAACAAAAGTGTGCTTCAGGTACTTGTACTTGTTAAATGTGTCTCCCTAAAACATAATTTTGCAGCATTACAATAGCAAAATTGTATTGCAACAAACAGACATGTTATATATAGGTACAGTAAAATATTCTTTTTCCTTTTTTTTATATCAGTATTAAAAAAAAAGTATTGCAAAAACGCACTGAGGTTTGAAGTATTTTCTTGATAGCAGCAGCTCTGGTTCCACACAATTTACCAGATAAGTGTGTTTACATGTTCTTTATGGAGAGTAATCACACTTCCTGTTTGAAAGACCTGGAGGAGAACACAGACACTAACATGTAGCTGTTTTTAGAGATGACTCTAATATTGCAGGACATACATTTAAAAAAAAAAAGAGACGAAAGAATAACAAAAATGAATAAAAATTAAAACAAAGTACCTCAACCTGAAGTACGGGCAACAACAAAATACATGCACAAATATATAACAATAATGATATTACTACTACTATTACTAATAATAATATCTATTATTATTTTTATTGTTATTGGTGGCAACAATTTAATTAATTTTAAAATATAAACAAAAATAATTGTTTTAAAGGAACAGTGCGACAGTAACCAAAAATTGTTCTTTTTTTTTTAAATCCAGGATGGAAACAGTGGGTGGGATCATGGACAGTTTATTTGTTGATGCCATCAGGAATTTGAATTACTCTTTAACTGCTCCTCTGTTCCTCACTTGGAAACCATTCTCCAGTCTGAGCAGACCACGTTTCAAACATCTGTACTACAGACAGGAGAGAAGGTAGGTTCATTTGATTGTTCATTTGGATTGGACTGGACAGCTGTGTTTTTAGAAGCTTTTATTTTCTCTAACCTGGTGTCTGTAGATCTCAGTGTTCCAACTTATGTCGCTTGTATTTATCTGCTAATTGAATTCACGCTATTTGACAGCTTTTTTTAAAGTATAGCTTGTTAAATACTTTTTTGTCAAATTGCACAAGGGCATATCAATATAGTAAAGGCTACTTCACATAGTGCTTGAAGCTGGGTTTAGAAATGTAGCATTTGTGGTCAAATATAAATGAAGAAGTAAGTCCAAATAAGTACCAAAGAATATAGAAAGATGGCAACAGGTCAGCAGAAAAAATATTATTAGGATCAGCATCAGAGGAAGGGCAAGAAATAACTGAAAGAAGGAATTAAATAAGTCTAAATAAGGTTAATAACATGTAGCCAATGGTCTGCAAAACCAAAAAGTAGCAAAACAATGCTAAAAACTTAGCATTTCACTTAGCAAATAATAATTAATTCTAATGGTTGCATACAAGTCAGCCTGAAAATAATGTACAAAAATGTATCCCTAAAATATAGTTAATGTTAAAAAAAGAAAAAAAAAAACGATGTGTACATGATCAAAACTACCAGCAAACATGTTTTAAAGAAGGAAGGAAGGTTTAGGCGCCTGGGGAGCAGTGTGTGGGGACGGTGCCATGTTCAGAGCACCTCAGTGGTAACTTGGCAGCTGGTGGACTCAAACCTGAAACCCAAGTCCGCTTCCTTAACCACTAAGCCACCACTGCACCAACACTGTCCCACATGTTTAAAAAAAATGAAATAGTTCAATAAATTCTTATGAAGTTAGATCTAGTTAAAGCCTGGATCAGTATCTGCTGACGACTTCAGCTCTCCTTATTCCACAGACAACAGATGATTCTGCACAAACTGATTTCATTCATTTCTCTTACAATCACAGACTGAACAATGGAAGTGAAGGTATCTGTGGACGGCGTCCCGCGTGTGGTGTGTGGAGTCACAGAGGAAACCACATGTCAGGAAGTGGTCGTAGCTTTGGCACAGGCCCTGAGTACGTGTGTATTCACATGGTGACATTTTTCTTTTCTTTATTTCGGTTGTAACCTGATTCATCATCTTTTTAGGTCAACCCGGTCGCTACATGTTACGGGAAAAGTTTAAAGATTTCGAGCGCTGTATGACGCCCAGCGAACGTCTCCTGGAGACCCTAGAGAAGTACGGAGAACTGGCCAAAGAGGTGCAGCTGACTTTAATCCTCAGTGGACCTCCAGCCACCGACAAAATGACCAGGTCCAATGTTGGCAGATACCAGCAGTGCCCACCGCTCAGAAGGAAAGACGCGGGAGCTAGAACACGGCATGGGAGCAGTTCAGTGATATTGCACCGTCAAAGTTTGCCCACGTTGCCTGAGCATTCAAATGAGGATGTGAAGAGACCTAAAAGAAAGTCTCTGACCTTCATGGAGGAGGCCCGGGAATGGTTGGACAGCCTGGGGAAAGGAAAGGTCTACAGTACCAGCTGTGATAAAGAGAGCAACAAGAAGGCTGACAAAAAGAGTCGAAAACTCTCTCTCACTAGTGAGAAAGAAAACCTGGGTCGAGGCGTCAGAGGCAAAGTCAAAGGCCACAGAGGTTCCATGTCAGCTTTGGAACTGCAGACGTCCTGCTGCATTGGGGGTCAGACCAGGTGCAAGGAAGGCAAACACTGCAAGCACGACCATCGGTGCGTTTCAGACTCTTATTCTACTGAGGATGAGAAGAACAGTCTCAAAGAGAGTGTCATTAGTCAGCTGGCTCAACTGCAGGACCTGGAGCTGCAGATAGCTCGTGTGGACAAGGAGATATCTGAGTTGGAGGAGAAGCAAAAAACTCAAAGGGCTGAGCAGGAGGCCCAGGAGAGAGCACTTAAACTGGAGATGGAGCAGATCAAGCTCTGGGAACACGAACTGAAGGCGGAGGAAGGTCATGAGAAGGAGCTGCAGAGTCAGTTTGTTGACCTGAAGGACAAGGTGGTGGAGTGCAAGGTCAAACTGGAGGAGTACAAGAACAGAATACCAGGCGTGGACCTGTTCACCACTCGGGTTGAAGAACATTCACAGATAGTTTCCAAAGTGGCTGCTACTGTGGTATCAGAGACAGACGCCAAACAGCAGCAATCATCAGATGCAGACAGGGCAGTTAATGTCAACAGGAAATTCCTGCCCAGAGACGCGTGCAGCTCTCCTCGAGCTCTGGTTCCTCCCAACCAGATAAAAGAGCGGAGGCCCACAGGTCCAACAGAACTGAGGGAGTGGTGGACACGCTGGTCTGAAGCTCAAAGCCCACCATTACAGGCCAAAAAGAAGGTGATCCACCGATCAGAACTAACCATCTACCTCGGCAGCACCAAAGTCTGAAACCAAATGAAATTCCTAAACCAAGAAGGCGCTGTTACTCACAAGCACCATGTAATGGATACGAGTATTGTATACTCATGTTAAAGACTCTAGACAGTACTAGACGGTGGAGGAGTGGTGAGTGCTCTTGCGTTAAAGCAAGAAGGTTACCAGTTTGAATCCCAGTGGTCCCTCCCATGTGTGCAAAGGTTTTCATTCAATTTCTTCTCCATCTAAAAACATGCAGGATAATGATAAATATTCACTGTAAATTAAGCAAAGCTGTGAATACAAGTGTGAATCGTTGTTTGTCTCCATTTGCCTGACAGAGAAACCATCATGAGCGAACTGTCCAGGATGTACCTCCTGTGAGGCCATTGGATTACTTAAGCAGTAGAGGTTGGATTGACGGATCATTTGTACTTTAATTGCAAATGTTTGTATTTAACACCTATAAATCAACATATACTGACATAAAGCTACTTCTTATTTGTTTTAACGCTGTCCAATACACGTACAGTTTACTTCTTACAGAAACAATTGTTCAGTCTTTTAGATTATAAATTGATCTTTGATTATCTGCATGTCAGATCCTGTTGTGATCTTGAGATATATGTGTATATATACATATACATATATATATATATATATATACACATATACATACACACACACATATATATAAATACACAGACACACACACAAAGGCTCCAGCTGCACATGTGGCCCATTCATATTTTAGGCATCATGTCCAAAATATCCTAGTGACTGAACTACATCACCATAAATCTGAAGATACAGACATGGTATTATTTTTGATTCCGATGACAAATACAAGCAGCTAATTTTCATAAAACTTTATTTCAATTGTTTCATTCAAGACCATTAACAAAAGTACATAACCTCTGTATGCGTTTCAACTGAAACCCAGAGACCTCTGAAGGTGAAAGCAATATTTTTGACCCAGTTCACACGCCGTCTCTCCAGAGTAACGATAACCACGTCCAGATTTCTAATGCTTCTTTCTTATTATTAACTGAATTTCTAATACTTAACCTTTCTCAGTTTTTAAGTTAAATTTGTATTATTACATCAGAAGATTGAACTTTCACTAAGAAAAAAAAGCACACATTACATAAAGAATAATTCAGCCCACAGGTGGGGGTGCATAATCAGTTATTATTACTCCTACTAAAAAACACAGCCAGCCCAAGATTGTTCTAAATATTTTGGTGGTTGGCTGGAATCAGAATACATCATTTTTTCTGATGTTCTCTTTTTTTGTTATTGTTTATTTTCACTTGCTTGTATTTTAGGCACCTTAATTCAATATTAGCAGATTGAGTTTGAAAGAAAAAACTGTGCAAAAACAAACAAAAGAAAAAAAACAGTATAAAAGAAGTGTAGATAAAGATGCCTGAAGGAATTCTGCACCCAGAAAAATAACTGCATACATGGGGCAAGTTAATACCACAAAGGTAACTTGAAGGCTCCCAGTGTGCTAAAGAAAAAAAAAATCCTAGTAGATGAACTTTGACATACACCACACAAACCATGCTTTCACTTCAGCTCATCAAAGCTTTTTTTGTTTGTTTTTGTTTTGTCTTTTTTTTTTTTTTTTTAGAAAAAAACTGCTCAAAATAAACGAGCAGAGAAGAATCCATCAGTTTAAGCTTGTGTATATGAGAAATAGGATCCTCCTTATGGAGGGAACTTTTGCTTTTATAGGTTTCATAGGAAAGCATATGGAAAAATAAAATAAAAAAAAAAGGAAACCTGATAAATGAGACCATTTCCAGTTTCCAGGCAACTATGGGGGTGGGGGATTTAATTAAAAAACAGAACAAACAAAAAAAAACAATGGGGGGCAGGGTGCAGAAGCTTAGAGTCATGCCAACAGTTGCACTCACTCACCCAGGCAGACTACAAATTACAGGTTGCAGGTGCAGAATTCCAGACACACACACAAAAAAAAAAAATCAAGACAAAAGATCAGGACGTTGACAGACACAGTCATAGCTCTGATTTAGAGGGACAAGGCCTGGAAACAAATGTCTCCATTATTCACTTCAGACACACGCACAGACAAACGTTTATACACATACACACTCAGAGATCCCATGTACACAGCAGTGTGCACTCCGTATCAGGTAGGTCATACATGGGAGAGACAGGGAACAGTGGAATGAGGAGTTCCCCCGTAGGTACTGATGGGACAAAGGTTACACATGCCAATTATTTTATGTATGTGTGTGTGTGTGTGTGTGTGTGTGTGTGTGTGCAAGCATGTGTCGGATTGAATTCCTAAACTCCTGTTCTATGTCACTGGGGGACAGGATCGCATCAAAACAGCCAACATGTGGGACGGGCTCTTTGCTGCTCAGTCAATGACCCCCGGCTGACGGAGCTTCCGCTCCACACTGAAGCCCTGCATAAGAAAAAAGGTGGTATTGATTAAAAATGATGAAAGAAAAGAAAAATAATGCAGAAAAGAACTGGAAACATCTGGACAAACCAACTATAGAAAGCTTAAAAAATACATGTAAAACTTAAAGGTATTGTGTTGTTATAGAATGTAGGAGATATTGAACCGCTTCAGAGTCTTCTGGAGTTTTTTTCTCCAAATGTGAATGTGTCAGGGCAGTTTCCAATTGAATGAGCTATTGGATTTCAAAAGGGTGAGGGAGCTACAGAGATGGCTCTGCCCAGGTGCTTGGTCCTATGCATAAGGAGCGGAGGTCAAATGAGGGGATGTGAGGGTGGTAGAAGGTCATTGGGGTATGACTGTTGGGAGCTTTTGAGTAATAAGTAGACCATAAAATTGTATACAGTATTGATTCTGAGTTTATCAGTTTATGTCTAATTACACTTAAGACTTTATATGCAAATGCACAGAAGGTGTTAAAAAATGCTATATTAGTGCTATATAACACTACAGAGGACTGCAGCTGGTAAAACACAAGGAAGATAAAATGAAGAAATGATTTCCAGAGAGATTACAGTCAGTAATATATGACCTCATATGTCCACAGTTCTGCCTATAATAAAGCTGTGCTTCCTCACAGGAGTTAGTTATGTACAATATATATACTTTGTCTTGAAAGTGATCCTGTAAAACACAGGACCTCTGGTTCTTTGGTACCTTTGTATTGTCAGGACCGCGAGGCTGTCTCACAATGACCAAACGCGGAGCGCTGGCATCATCCAGAGTGATGCTCTTCAGTCGGTTCACCAAACGGTCAGGTCGAGGGGTCACCACTGGTTTGGGACCCTCGCTGGAATGTTACATCGTTGTGATGTTATACAGTACAGAAACAGTGATGGCGTATGTTGTTGTTTTAAATATAAAAATAAAACACGTTGCATGGTAAGGTGGCAAAACCTACCTGACCCTGCGTACGTTGCAGGCACTACATTTTCCTGTGCGTTGATTAAAGACAACTGAAAACTCCACCTCATCCCCAGTCTGCAGTTCCAGATTATCATGTACTTCTTTTACATGGAAGAACAACTTCTTGCTGTCGCCCACCTCATATGTGATGAAGCCAAACTGGAAAAAAGTAATATATATATATATATATGAAAATATGTTGGGAAAAGATCCAGGTGATTTCTGAACATCTTTAAAACATGAGACAAGATTATTGATCACTACCTGATCTTTGACACACTCCACCAAGGCTCTACGCTGAGGAACTACATTACATGCCATCTTCTGTCCAGTTTGAGGAATCAAGCAAGTCTGGAACTTCACAAGTTCTCCTTTTTGCAGACAATCAATCTTGTTTGCCATTCCCATGATCCCAAAAGGATAACTTGGGCCTTTTGTTCCACCTGCACAAATCACAGCAATGGTTAGAACTACTACTGCTAAAATACTTTAACTGCTTTGGGCTTCACATCCTTGTTTGACACCAACCTTCTTCTGTTATTTCAATAAGCCCTTGGTATTCTGTCTGGGAAGGATCGACACTGCGTAAAGGACGGATGACCTTCCCCATCATCAATGTTGTGCTCACCTCCTCACCGACACCATTGACTGAAAGGAGGAAAAAAAAAATTCACGTTTACTTTCTTTTTCAAACAAATGGCCCAACATAATAATAATCATTTAATGTCCTTTCATTTGTTCATACCTGCAGCCACTTTGGTAACCTTCTCTGCACTGACTTTGTTTCCCTTTCCTTTGGACAGATTGTACTCCACCGTGTCACCCAGCTCCAAACTATCCAGATCTCCACACATTTCACTGAAAATAAAATAAAAACCAATAAGAATCCAGGAACATGCGTACAAGTAATGACTAAATCAATATGTAACCAGACATCTGAAAATGTACAGGTCTTACCTGTAGTGAAAAAAAATCTCTTGGTCATGATTTGCAGTTTCAATGAAGCCAAAGTTGTCCTTCAGCGTGGCAACAAATCCATACAGTCTCTTGGAATTGGAGGCATTTCTGTTGAGGACCCTGATGGAGACTGCACTCTGCAGGCCAGTTCGCTTTACCTCACTTATTATGAACTCCACCTAGTGGACAAACACCGTAAGCTTTTAAACCCATTGATGAAAACAAAAAGGAAAGTGATGTTTAAAGTGTCCACTGTATTTTGACCTCTGTTTTAATGTGGACCACAAAATAACAGAGGTCGAAATACATAGAACACAATTTAAAGATTTTAAACCTCTCCAGCAGTAAAAGATATTTTTTGGTTTTTGGATGTTGTGATTTGTTGGGTCATGGTCTTGGATAACACTGTCATGTAATGCTGGAGTTTAAGATTTTTAAACTACTTATCCAAAATGTTAAATCTTGAAAAGCATACATCAAAGTACTAATGAGGTATGCATTTATGTCCAAATCTTAACACATAATTAAGTCAAACATATCGTTTACCTTGTCTCCAACCTGTGGGTGACAGCCTCCCTCTAGGTCCTTGGTGTGATACGTCACAGTGAGCTTCTCACCACAATCTTCATATGAAATGACTCCCTCTTCTAAATCCTGTAAAGACGTCAGCATGTCAAACACAGGCAGTTAGAATTACAGATGGACCACAGTCATTGAAGTCAAGACCGTTCTCAAGTAGAATCAGATTTGTTGAAAAGGAAGAGGGTCATCTTTACTCCAAGAGAAACAAGGTTGGTAAAGAAAGTGTTTGGTAATAAAAGATGGATTGGGTATAACCTGCACAACACCGGTGCTCAAGACATTTTAACAAGCTCCCTTTGCTCTGAGACACAACCTCCTATTAAAGGTGGTCATAAAAAAACAATTTGCAAAGGCTCAAATTACCAACATTATAAACCATATTAATAATTTTAGGTTCACTTTGTTAGGGTAGATTTGCAGTTTTTTTTCTTAGAATTAAATAAAAACAATTATTTGATCCTTTGAAACAACACTCACAAGGATGTGTTGATTTTAACACTCCACAATAACACAAACATACAAAACAAAAAACGGTGCTATTAATCCCAGCTCATATTGAAACAGAAGCTGATGAAAAAGTGGAAACGGTTAGAAAAAGGACAGGAAAGTTACGGGAAAGATGTGTGAAATACAATTGGAAAGTAGAAAGAGGGAGGGAAAATAATGGAAGTACAATAAAATGTTGGAAGAAATACAATGGAAAAGTAGGAAGTGTGAGTATCGGGAAACAATGTGACAACGTCACATAACTGTGGATCAGTTCTGTGTTTTTCCAAGCCATGGGAAGCAATGATGCACACAGCTTTGACACATTTTCCAGAATAACATTTCCACATCACACTAGGATGAAACCCACAGGAGAAGGGTTTGCATTACATCAGTATCCTTAAGAACCACAGTTGAGTGTCAAGATGTGTACCAGATAATTCTACGAGCAGCTGCTTTGATCACACACAAATGATTAAAAGAAATAAAACTATATTATGCATAGAAAGCCAGTTTTGTATGAATCAGTCGAGCCTATTATGAATCTTCACACAATGGTAGAAGAATGTATTTCCACAGGAACTATTAGTTATTGAAGACCAAGTTGTTAGTGAAACACTAATAGGGCTGTTACTTTTTCCCCCTGCAATCATGTTCAAATTTAACACCAGACTCTAGTGTGTCACCTGACCCTCATCGATAGTCTATGGGCCTCTGCTGGACCACATGGTAACAACAGTCCGAGAGAAGCAGGATTGCGGTCACAATCCTTTCATTTTAAACCTCTATGCTTAACCACATTTAAAAACTTGAATAAAAAGTTACAGCCCTCATTGTTGATGTCTGCTTCGTGGTTGAGGGGTTAATTTGGTGATGAAACACCATGCAAACACTCCAGCACAGACTAACCTTTTCTACCACTTTACCCTTAAAAGATAATAAGAGAGAAGCACTGATTAGACAGCAAGACCCCTCCAGATCTGACTTTATTGCTTTTCTTAACTTACATCGTTGACTTAGAGTTATCACTAGGTGTTAGTAAAGTAAATAATCTCTTGCTAAATATTGTACAGTTTGCTTTGTGTGCAAGCATCAGTACTGGTCTGAGACACATGATCAGGTGACATCATGCAGGGGATCTCAGTCCTACCTTGTCTTTTTTCTAACCAACAAGGGACAAGAACAGGAGTTCAGTGGAGAAGAAAAAAAAATTGAAAGTTAGAGCTTAAGCTGTAGAGCTGTAGGTGTATATTGTTGGGTCAGGCCAATACATTTTATTTTTCTATTATAATTTCTATGTTATATGTAGTATCTACCGATAGATTCATGTACTAGCATACCTTTTCTTTGGCTTTGGTGGGACTGGCATTCTTATTGGTGACTCCAACCAGCTCCTTCTCCACCACACCAATGAAGCGCTGCTCAGACTGGGTATGAAAAGACACTGTGCCCTTGGGAAGCTTCTTGATGCGAACAGCGTGGTTCCTCTGAGCAGACAACATATCCTACAAACAACAGGATATTTGTTTTTTGTTTTCATTTGTTAGTAGACACCCAAAATGCAGGGCCTTTGTTGAAATCTTACAAACTGGACTTACAGGCACAACAGTAAACTCCACTTCGTCAGAAATGTGCAGCTGAGTCTCCTCCAGCACTTCACTGAAGTGAAAGAACATCCTTGCATCACGATCAACACACTTGATGAAGCCAAAGCCATCGCGGATCGCTGCTATCACTCCCTAGAAAGAGTTGTAATGACAATGAACAGGGCATTTCGTATAATAATCCAACCAGTTCCAATAGAATATTCCACATTTCTACCATTTCACGCTTCTCCTTGGTGAAGTTAAAGGTGTCCGGGAGAATGTCGATGTTTGTGGCCCTCTCCAGTTTGTCTCTGCGGTCAGTGGAGATGTTGAACTGAATGTGGTCGCCCTCCAGAAGAGTCACTTTGGATTTGGTGTCCTTCTCACCAAAGGGAAGTTCCTTATCATTGAACCCTATGCGTGCAGAGATGCGTCCTGGGAGAGGGTCGTTCTATGCAATAGAATTGTCAAAAAAGTTCGACTCAGCATCACTGAAGATATCCACAAGTCCATGCTGCCCAAATACAAAAACTGTTCAGACAGTGGGGCATCAAACAAAGACCACGTCTGGTATAAAATATAGACTTTACATTTTGACCTAAATGTTTACATCTTTTTGTACAGGTAAATGTCTATTGTTTACTGGATACTACTTTGAATACAAAAAACACATCTATATATCCATCCATCTATCTATCTGTATGTGTATATATATATATATATATATATATATACACACACACACACACACACACACACACATTTTTTCACTAATGTGCTCAGAGTAAGTAATTTTGCCTTTGGGGAAATCATTTACCTGGTTTTTGGTGGGAACCTTGGGGATGACCTTGACAACAGTGCCTTCAAACTGCTCAATGCTGATGTCCTCGAAAATGACTGTTCCTTGTGGCAGCAGCCTTACATCTGTGGCTACTTCTTTTCCCTAAAGTCAGAAAGACATTTTTAGGGGTCCCAGTTTAACTTGGTCTTTACTCAATCATTTAAGTGACTAAGCTTTAGAAAACATTACATTTCTATCTTTAATAGTAAACTCGACATCATCTCCAGCCTGCAGTGCCTCAAGGTCGCCCTTAAATTCACTGTAGTGAAAGAAGATCTCCTTCACCACATCAGCCCTCTCAATAAAGCCAAAAGCCTCCTAAAAAGACCACAAATGGAACATATTTATCAACAGTTGTTATCTACAGTTTTGGCAAAAGTCAACTGCATGAAACGTTAAGTTACTTATCATACCTTTGTAGCACAAACCACACCCTGACACCTCATTTGCTTCTTCTTCACAAGCTGAATGTTGCGTGCACTGACAGCACCAGTGCTGAAATACAACAGGGGACAATTGCCACACAGAGTTCATTATAAAAAAAAATTGGGATCATAGATACGAGAAGGAAACAATATCTTACTGTTTGTTAGTCTCCATGTAAAAGCTGACTTTATCGCCTGTGTCAAGGTGGATGTTTCCTTCAATATCGTCAGGAGTATAGGTCAGGTAGAACACTTCCTGCAGAAGATACATTTTTAAAATAATTACTGAATGGTTTAAGATGAGGCCATTGTTCCTTATTTATCAAAGACCAATTAAAGTAAATAAAATGTGTTTTATGTATTACGTTAAAGTGTTTTGTGCAGGTTTGTTGTACACTAGGGCTGCAACTAAACAAAAACAAAAAAACTAACAATTCACCATTTGTGGCCTTGAGATGAGAACACATTCAATGAAAACTCTTACAAATAGACTTTAATATTTAATTTCAATGTGTTGATTGTTAAAGTGACACAGCCCCACATGTCCTGTTGTTAAAATGTCAGAGCCAATTTGAGTTTCTAGGAAAACAACATTTTTAATAAAAATAAGTAAATGAAAGGTTTACTTAGGATTCAGTGTTAAATGTCTCCTAAATACACTGTCACAGACTACACAGATCTTCACATTTCTTTAACACTTGAACATAGTGATATTTCAGCATTACAGTATTTGTACCTGAAATATTGGCTTTAACCTAGTCAGTTCTTACAAAGAATATGAACTTGTGCATCACATGTATAACAAAAATATTCCTCCAACACAAACATGAAGCAAATATGAAAGACCGGAAACAATCTACCATCTAAACTTATGATAATAGAAGTAAGAGGCTCTCACCCCATTTCTTTCATAGCAAACGCTGCCAGTGGGGACCTGACCAGGAGCAGACTTTCCATCTAAGTGCAGTGGGATTGCAGAGACGACCTAAAGAACATAAAGAAACGTGTAGATGGAAGCGGTTAGCACAAACAGTCGGTGGCAGACTGTACTATGTAAAAATATTGCGTTAAAGCTTATTTATATAAAGGAAAAAAACAAAAAAGTACATTATTTACTAGTAACTTCAGCTGCATGTTTGTGAACAGCCTGTAAACACTGTTAAAATCAACATGTTAATCTGACAACTGACAACAGTTAGCGAGCATGTGGATTGCTGAGTCGGTAGTATTGTGGAGTTAGGATGATCTTCTGTTATTTTTTAACAAGACTGGCAGCAACAATTTTTCCCGCTGAGCTCAAGTTGATGATGCTACAGTAAGTCACTGCCAAGTCACATACCACAATCATGTTATCCGATTAAATAGAGGACTATACTGCATAAAGATCAGAAACTCTGACAAATCATAACAGGCTACAAGCTGAAGCAGAAACTGTATGAATTTTAATAACCACAAACTGATGAGTTTTCTGGACGTGCAAAAAGAGGGGCTTTAAATTTAACAGGGTGCAACAAGCTAATATTTCTGACTTAGACTTAGTATGGAGCACAGATAAGCCGACAAACAGGACAGAACCAAACATAAAACGGTGTTCCTTAACTGGATGAATATAACCATGCAGCACAGTAACGGGATAGGCGTGCAGTTCTGGCCCCACCTGGCCTGAGATGCGCTCCTCTGGCAGCACCTCTGGCTTTATCTTTAGCAGCTTCACTGCTATGGGCTTGCCAGTGCGCCTGTCAGAGGACACCTCAAACTCCACATCATCTGAAAAGAGAAAAGTAAGAAAGAGTTTTGCAGTTGCAGTTGAAAGATTTTCTCTTTAAAAATAAGTATTCAGGATTAGTCGCACCTCCTATTTTGAGATCCTGCAGGTTGCCATTGAACTGGGAACAGTGGAAGAATAGTCGATCATGGCGTTCAGAGCACTGGATAAAACCATACGAGGTCAGAAGCTTCTCCACCACTCCTGTCTCTCGAATGCCAGGTCCTGTGCCGTTAGGGTATGGTGTGTGTCCGTTATTATGAAGCATGCCTGGATCAAAACTCATCTGAGAGGGATGGAAAAAGCAAAACACTCAATGCATTCTGTATTACTAATTAATGCAGCACAAACAACAGTTATGTTACTTATAAAAGGCCCAGTGTGCACAATCTAGAAGGATGCAGTGCCATGGATGTGTACCAGAGAACAATGCCTGCTTTTGGAGAACAGCCATGTTGTGTTAGTGGAGATTTTGTAACAGAGGAGCTCTCTTGATACAATTTATAACCCAACAATTAAATGTCAGTGATTCTTACACACTGGACCTATAATGCAAATGTTTAAAAAAAACAAAACACATGCAGGTAAGGCATAATATAAAGCGAATGGGCAAGCAAAACAAAAGCTAAAGTAAAACCACATCTTATGCTACATATGGCCTTTAACACTTCACAAGTGAAAAAAAAGATTTTTTTCTTTACATTTTGGTCTTAAATGTCCTCAAATTTTAGGTCATTATTCTCTAACACGGACAACACTGTGTCAAAATGTATTTGATCCTGGTCAGATAGAGCCTCAGTAAAATAATTTACTTTCTTCTACTATATTTAAACAATCAAGCATTATTAATACTACTTCACCCTGGTTAAGTTACCACACAAAAACAGGACATGCTGTTAGCCAAAGTCAGATAACACATCACTCTTATTAAGGCCCATGGCCAGCACGACCAATCACAGCCGCTTACTGATCTCTGATACAAGGGAGCACGCCTGTGTTTTTTACTCCCTGAGTGGGGGTGGCAAGAGACAGAAGAGGAGCGGGGTATGGGCATGGGACCACTTGAGGTAGATGGGGCTGAGCCAGTGTTACGAGCCACTGGAGGTTCAGAGGAGCCTCTTTCCATTTCTGACACTGAAGTTAGGACTCGAATGTGCTGTTCAGAAAAGGCAACAGCATTCAATGGGAGCAGAAGAAATTACATTGCATGATTTCAACAAAGAAAGACAGCGGTTCCTATACTTGAAAGAAAACTGATTCAGTTATCCTGTTTTTTTTGGCCATTCAAACCATTCAAATCTGCTAGTGTACAAAGGCACATGCTCAGAAGGTCATTACAAGAGCTGTGCAACATGAGCCCTTTCCTACACAATGTAACTGGTCATGTTGAATGGAGCTGCTGCACTACCTTGATGTATGACCACCTGTAAAAGTACAGTACAATTACAAATGCAACCAAGGTAAAGAGAGGAATGTAACCAATTGCACAAACACTGGGTTCATACAGTTCTACAGAACAGCACTTTTTCATAATCATGAGACAGGAGCCATACAGGTCAGAACCAGAACCAAAAGCAACATAGAAAGAAAGAAATTTAGAACTGAACTAACAGATTCTTGTTTTATAGTGTCCTTTTGGCAATAACCAAGCCAAAGACCAATCTCACTAAGATGAGATGTTAAATAGCACTTGAAACAGGATTTGGAGAATGTTCAGAAACAGTCATTAACTCCAGGCCTGTCACTAACTTCTAGGTCTGCCACAAATAATGTTTCAATGTTTAAGTGCCAGTTTTAATTTAACATTACAATAATCACACACATTTTTGATATTACTCAGAATTTTAGTATAAAACAGTTTGGATTTTTTTAAATATTAATAAACATTAATAAACCCAAAAGTGGTTGTCATCTTTTAAAATATTTTAGGCAAAAAGATAAACCATAACAATTCCAAGTATAACAAAAAAAAGAAAAGAAAAAAAGTAGACCACCGTTTTATATGGTACTGAAAAGGTGCTCTTACATCATGGCACTAGAAAAACTTTTTCTGAAAATAGGTTTTTCAGAGTAGAACCTAATCTCAACCTAAGTGAGCTACTTGAAATGAAATATCTCAAAACTTAGGGTAGCTACACTACAGAAAATGAAGAATGAGGTACTGGCAGGTGATAAAGCAGTGCATATATAGTGGAAGAGAGTAGGTGATGGGATTATGGGTTATGACGAGGGTCCCAGAGCAGCCTCTTATGTTAGGCCTTGGACATACCTCAGTATTATAGTTTTTACTCTTAATATCGGGATGTCACACATCTGCAGGTCATTTGACCTTATATTTAGAAACAGAAGCATGTTTACACATTTGGTGTGATCAACAAAACTAATCAAAATATGGTCGAGTCATCGGGAGAAAATCCCTGATTTCAGCTTATAATCAGAGACCAACCAGCTGATGTTGAGGTTAAATAAAAATTCCCTATTACTCCAAAACTCCACCCACCCTGCCATACTGTAATTATGTAGAGGCTAGTCTCGGGAGCCCACTAAAGAATGAAAGTTAGGCCATTCACAGCATAGAGATGCAGGGAAAGGTGGTTGGATGGGTGTTCAATGCGGTGGGGCACGGAAAAAGGAGGCTGGAAGGTGAAACTTACAGATCGGCCATATGGCGACAGGCTGAGTCCGACAGGGGTGGTGTTGCTCAGGTCGGCACTAACATACGCGGTGGGTGGCGACGCAGGCATGGTAAACTCAACAAAACCTTTCCAGGGGCTGCCCATATTTTCCCATAAACTCGGAGCAAACTTGCTTGTGTACTTGCTGAACTTGACTATTTGATCCTTTTTTTCCTCCTTTTTTTAACTATTCAGTACTATTTTTTAAGTAACCACCCAAAGATACACCACTGGATGCCTGCAAGGCTGAAGAGAGGAACAAACATAATGGATAAGGCAAATAGATCAGCTTGTTTGCCAAGTGTCTAAAACAAGGGGAGGGGGTGTGACTGTTAATACCATAAAAAGGATTTGAAAAACAAAGAATAAGGAAAGAACCGACCTGAAATAAAATAATTTAAAAGTGGGTAAAAGGCACGCTACTTACACACAATCAAGTCAGATAAATAGTTGTTATATGTAGCTGTGGTATATAGTTATCGGTGTACTTATAAAACATTAGCACAATCCATGGCATACACAGAATCAAAACAGTTATGTAAACAGTTACATATAGGTTTTCATGCCCACAATGTGCAGTAATATGAACCCCCCTCCCAACCCCCTCGCCCGTCAATTAAAGAGTCCACTAAGTACGAGACACGTTTTTGAACATGCTACCCAAAAGTCCTCAGAAACATGTACTGGAAAATAGCTGAAAACAGCCTGAGATGTGTCACTCTTCACCATAATGTTTCTTACAACTTTTGACACCTTTGTGCCTGTGTAATTGCAGTGGACACATAGGCATTTAAATGTATTGTCTTTATAAGTCTTTTTGCAATTAAGTGACAGCCCTACCAGCTAAAAATCAACCACAGTGACAGTCAACAGTGTATGTATGTGTGTGGAAATATATTAAGAGAACATTAACTAAACAACCACAAGCTACAGACATATTTATGCATTTAAAATGAAACAAATCATAACAGAGAGGAAAAAATATGAAAGTAAATAAATGTAAACAATAACTCACCTTGAACTTTTTTCCTTTAACGTCTCTGACTCTGTTACTGTACAGCTCTTGCAGATCTCTTCACGCACACAGTTGAACACACACACGTTACACGTTTCTGGCACAAGTTTTAGATGGTTGCATAAAGCATTGGAAGGGAGGGATTCAGCAGAAAAAAGGCAATGCAGGTGCAATAACACTGCTTGGAAAAAATATTAGAAAAAACAGTGGGAAGAAGGGTCAGTGGGGGATATTGAGAAAGAAAAAATATATAGCAGATAGCAGCCCACTCCACACTCCGGCTGTGAGTCGGAGGTGTGGTGAGGATGAGAAGGGCTAGGAGCAGCGTTGGGACGTGTGCTTTGTCAAAGCTGTTGAGTAGGCACAAACTTCTGTTTTCAGATCAGTTCTTGATGTCTCAGAGTATACTTGGGTATAGAATTGCTTCTCTTCTGCGTTTCAGTTGGGTTGATGAGCGTCTTCTTTGGTCGTTTCAAAATTTGGTTGCTTCTTGCGTATTAGAACCCGTGAAGTTTTCCCTTTTGCTCCACATTACTTGTGTGTTGCAATTTGTTTGTTGCGGGAGGTTAATCTTCAGTTTCTTCTTTATGATCTGAACTTGAAGCAGTTGCGGATGTTATAAAATTAGGTTCCGTGTCACTTCATACTGTGGAGAAAAAACACATTTAAACAAATTATATTTTCATACAATTACAATGTGGGAATGACAATTAAATAAAACAGAGTTGTGGGACAGTGTCATGATCTGTGAAGGAACACTAAATTCTTTGAACTAGCCTGACAGAAGTACAGAAATAGATTTTCCTCAGATGCCTCTGGATGCAGCCCATAATGCCAGGCAGCTGACAAGCAAACCAGAGCTGTGGATCAGGGCCCTGTGCATACCTTCATCTCATGATATTTATGGTATCATATAAAACATTTGCACACTTACTGCACACGTTTATTGTACAGGTGTGACTCATCAGTTTTCCTACTTCCAAATAGTGTTTTTGAGTTAAAAACTAAATTCCAGAGCATGTTCCTACATAAGTGTTATTATTTAATGGAGAACTTAAAGGGAGCTGATTGTGAACATTAGATAAATGTAAATTAGAGAAAGCTTTTACTTTGACAACATGGTTAGGGGATATTTCCCAAATCCTTAAACCTATAGACCGGAATGACTAATCTGAGTTGACTTATTGAAATAGTTACAATTTCAACTGGTTATCCTTTAATTAAAAAAAGGTATGAGCTTAGGTCAGAGGTCATGAGTAGCTAGCCTTGTATTTATAGTTAAAAACTGAGTTTTATTGTCATTTATCACTTATTTTAAATAAAATGTTTGACATTTTAAGGTATCTTCTGCTCTCTTGGGATTCTATGATACTACAGCCCCTAAACATACTTGAAAAAAATATTTTTGCCAGGGAACAAGAGCAACTTAAATCAATAAGAAAATGAACACTCTGGCTCAGCCAGATGTTACTAAGAATCAGTGAATCTCATTGTATGTGAATCCACTTTTACAGTTAAGGCCAAACTTTTTTAATGTAAACATTTGACATCAGTGTGAGAAAAACAAAATGATGACAACTAGAGAACATCGCTTAAATTTTTCTTTTTTTGTAACACAAGCAACATAGGAACCTACTTAGAGAAGAGGGTTTGGTTTATATATATATATATATATATAATGCTTAGTACTACTACTAATAATAAAAATGACCCAGGGCTCAAAGTCCTGCTGCTAGAGAACAATTTTCAAAATTGTGTCATCTCTGTAACTGTACTCCATCACTTCAAATCTCAAGGTTAGCAGCAAGTGTTGTTGACCCAAATACACTTTAAAAACAAGCTGTGTGAGCCAACCCTGGACACATGATCGGCATTCTGCTGTAAATGTGTTGCAATGACTCTTCCTGGAAAGCTGATAGATTACAGTTGTACAAAATTCTTCAATCACGTGGTTTAATGTTATTTATAACCCTAATTTAAATTATAGATAAAGCAAAGGAGCACTTGCGCAGAACATTTGTCATTGTTATGAACATCAACTGCACCCAATGGTACAATTAAAGTCAGCCATTACAGGCTTGTGGGTAAAAGGTTACGTGAAACGAACACAAACAGACTTGTGTCAAAGTCAAAAATCTGATGTTTTTTTCCCTTCCTTGTTTGGTATTTGATGACGCAGATTAAAAAACCACTAAAATCAGGAGGAACGAGCAGCCTTATTCGTAAAACAGAGCTATTCAACTAAACGACAAGAAAATATTCCGTTAATGTTTATGTCGTAACCCTTAAAAGAAAGACGCTCGTGAGGGTCTTGGCCTAAACAACAGCCGCTCTGACTGACAGCACCCGCCATGTGACTTCCCAGCAATTTCGCCATCAGTAGCTGGAGCTGAATGTGCTCCGATCCAGCACGTTGCTGCTGCAGGGAAACGTCACACACTGAGGCCTGCTAACTCACGTCTGCACACTTGTCAAACTACCGGACCACGTGCAAACCAAATAAGTGAATGTTTTATTTAACCGGAAAGCATCCGTTAGTTCGGAAAACAAACAGGGGAAGGTGCAAGTAAACTGAACGTCTTCGTGACCTTTTGTGCGTGAACAGAACAAAAAACCGTACCCTTCGGCTAGTGCTAAAGTCGTAAACAGTACTCACGGGCGTTACCGGCCTTACAAAGGAGAATAAGTCATTGTTACCAAGACAAACACATTTTAGATACATTCTAGAATGTAAACTATTATTTCACACAGTTCTGATCCTGACACAAAATTTGTCAACATAATGTCGTGTTTTGAAGAGTCAAATAAACAGTTCTAGGTTTAAAACTCTCCTATTGTTATCGCACGTTAAATAAACAAAAACTTTATTGAAAATAAGTGACGTTGCAATGCCGTCCTAAGTAGCATGTAATATGTATACATTATTATTCTTTTGTCTTACACACTGGCTTTTGTAATGAAAATTAAAGAGCATAACCCATCCCGGAGATTGAGTCACTGATCATATGCGTTAAGTCAAATGGCTTACCAGTTAGATTTAGTTCTGACAAGTTAAATGCTGTTAAACCTAGTAATGCGAAATGTCTGATGTTAAGGCAGATAATATAAAAAGATACCGGTGTTGAATAGTGCTCACTACACGAGGACAGGACAACAAAGAAGCCAAATCCACGGGACGGGTGGCTTCATGTTTTATTTCGCCGTGTCTGTTTTATTTTTCAATACGCTTTTTAGACATAGTTGTCATTGCTGCATTCGCTGGGATGAGTTGGAAGACTTTTTGGTTGTTTAATTACACATTCAATCACACAATTAGGTTGTTTAATGCAAATACGCTACAGCTAGCCAGGCAGCTTAGCATTCTACCGGACTACTTGCTCCTTGTGTGGCGGTGATTTATGGCGAGTGGAAAACACGGCTGCCCCCACCCAGGCCCGAGCTCTGCGTAGACTAAACGTTACACAAACCAGTCACTTCTAGAAACAGCTTAGATAAGACATTGCGGAAGTGGTAACTTATTCAATAAAAACATGTGGCGTAAGTTGAAAAAAAGAGGAAAATTTAATAAAAACTCACCCCAACAGCTTTCAGCACTGTCACCAGCGCCGCTAGAAGCAGCACGGCACATTACGTAGTGATTAGGGAGGCGACTATCGCGATATTTCAATAGACTAACCAAAGAGTCAACATGTAAGAATGGTCGCTACTGGGCAAGACAGGATGTTGTGTTCTCGCAAT